TTCTTAAAATGTTATTAAAATCAGCACACAATATGATGCATTTCATTATGACATTTTCATACGTGCATACTGTGTACTTTGTATATTTACCTAATATGTGTATATACATATATGTATATATGTATGTGTATACACGTAAGATCTTACTCTGTGGCCCGTCTTGGCTTGGAATGTGCTGTGTAGGCCAAGCTGACCTCCCTGCCTCCCTCCCTCCCCACCCCTTTCTGTTTCTTTCTGATTTTTGTTTTGTTTTTCAAGAAAGCATTTCTCTGTGTAGCCCTGGCTGTACCGGAACTCACTCTATAGACCAGGCTGGCCTCAAACTCACAGAGATCCCCCTGCCTCTGCCTCCCCAGTGCTGGGACTAAAGACGTGTGCCACCACTACCCAGCTCCAATGATGATTTCTTATGATTTATTTTTATTCCATGCACGAGTGATTGGTCTGCATGTCCCTATGTGAATGGAACTGGTGTTAAGGACGGTGAGCGGCCACGTGGCCTTGAACAACAGAACCCTGGTTCTCTGCAAGAGCAGCAAAGCGCCCTTAAATGGTCGAGCCATCTCTTCAGCCCCTTAAATGCTGATTTTAATTACGTTGTTTGAAAGAATTAAGGGTGTGAAATAAGAAGAGTCAACAGCACTAACCATTTCCACCATGGAAAATACCGATCACTTTCAAAATAAAAAAAGTTTCCCAAATTATTATGATAGGTTAGAGCCTGATGGGCTCCCACAGTTTTATCAGCTCACTGAAGATGCCGGAGGCAATGGCTGTTTCCAAACTGTTTCTGACATGCTCAAGCTGACCCCAAGTAGAGTTTATGAGCTATTGTGCTGCGGCAGAATCTAACATTCCGGAGCTCTCCTTTTTTTTTTTGTTTTTTTTTTTTTGTTTTTCAAGACAGGGTTTCTCTGTGGCTTTGGAGGCTGTCCTGGAACTTGCTCGGTAGACCAGGCTGGTCTCGAACTCACAGAGATCCGCCTGCCTCTGCCTCCCGAGTGCTGGGATTATAGGCGTGCGCCACCAACGCCCGGCTCCGGAGCTCTCCTTAGTCTTAAGCATATTCATTTTAATAAGACGTTTAATTTTCAAAAGCAGCTAGATTTATTTTCAAGTTAGTCTTATTATAAATGCCTTGCTTAGGTATTTAAGTATGCCTACATGTATGTTTGTGTGTACGCATGTATATATTTTTTGAGACAGAGTCACACTGCCTGGTGTATTTTATTTATTTATTTATATTTATTCCTTTGTTTATTTTTGGTTTTTCGAGACAGGGTTTCTCTGTATTGTTTTGGAGGATGTCCTGGAACTCACTCTGTAGACCAGGCTGGCCTCGAACTCACAGAGATCTTCCTGCCTCTGCCTCCGGAGTGCTGGCATTAAAGGCGTGCGCCACCAACGCCCGGCTATTTATTTTTTTAAACAATGCATTTCTCACCTCTTCAAAGCCAAGGATGACTTTGAACACATGACCCTCCCACCTCCACTTCCCAGATGCTGGGATTACAAGCTTGTACCACCACACCCAGTTAATATTATATTTGGGGCGGGGGATAGAGAGACGGCTCATCACTTGGAAAGTGCTTGCTGCTCTTCCAGAGGACCCACGTCTGGGAAGCCATCACATGGGGTGACTGGATGGTGCCTGTAATTCCAGGAGTGACACCTGTGACACCAGGAGACCTGGCGCCCTCTTCTGGTCTCCGAGTGTGCCCGCCCAGCAGCGGCATCCGTGCAGACACGTAAACCAAATATGAAGTCTTAACGTTTTTGAGTGGGTGTTACGGTTGGTCATCAGAGAGGGAAAAGAAGGAAGAAAGCGGAACACAAACCTGTGTGTGTGTGAGAACATCAGAAATTAGACCAAGAGGAAAATCAAAGACCCATACAGGAGAAATAAAAATACAACAGTGTGAGAGAGAAAACCAGGAAGTAACGGAAATACTGCAGCAGAGGCACCAGTGCAGCTGAAGGACCACGCTGGAACCCAGGTAAGGAGTCTGTCTTTGCCCTTGCTGCCTTACCTGGTGATGTGGAGCTTGCGGTCTGAAAAGTAGCACGGGAAGCGGCCGGACCATGAGCAGAAATTGCTCATGGTCAAAGCGCCCTCTTGTGGTTGTTTTCAGATTTATTTTTTATGTTATTTTAAATACGTGTGTGTGTGTGTGTGTGTGTGTGTGTGTGTGTGTGTGTGTGGTGTGCGCACACGTGCATTTACGTGGATTCAAATTCCAGTGGATTGCAGAGCCACCAGGGCGCGCTGCAGTTGCAGGAAGTTGTCAGCAGCTTAACCTGGATGCTGGGAACCGAACCCAGGTCCTTGGCAAGGGCAGCAATGTGCTCTAAAACACTGACCATGGCTCCAGCCCAGATTCCTTCTCACAAGACTCTTAACCTGCCTTGTGATTCCTAAAGACAGAAACCCAGGGCTTTCAGCCAGGCCAGCCGCCGTCAAAGACTATCCTCGAGTTACTCCTGGGGAGAAACCCGCGCACTGGGGCCTTAAAAAAAATACAAGATTTTGTTTTTGGGAGGGGAGGGAGAGAGGGGAGAGGAGGGGGAGAGAACAGAGAGGAGGGAGAGAGAGAGGAGCAGGACCAGCTTGCAAACACCTAGTCTGGGAAATCCTGAGAAGTCACTGGATGGTCAGGAGCTGTGGTCACAGCAAGTTGTCAGCCTCGCTCCCCAGGAACCACACTCCAAGCGATCTTAGCTGCTGAGCCATCGCTACAGCCTCCCACTTGGGGTCTGAGATGGGCTTTGGTGGCTCTGTGTGTACCTTAAAGCCCACCGGGAGGAGGGACGACAGCCGGCCGAGAGCCTGGAAAGAGGCATCGCCTTTCTCCCTCGCTGTAGTTCCATAGTCTTCCGCCTCGACGCGCAGTCTGCGCGCCTTAAATCACCGATACCTGGCTTTTTCTTGTCTTGGTCTCATTCTCCAGTTTTAAATCATTTTTATACTAAAGTTAGGCTTACAAATACGCTGTTTATCTACACTGCAACGCTACAGCAGGGAGCGGCGTGCATGTTCATAGGTTGCAGCTGTTGAATTTTTTTACGCGCCCCCCCCCCCGCCCCTCCTGTGGTGGGGGGAAGGGAACACCAGCCTTTGTAATGCCAGGCAAGCACTTTTTTTTTTTTTTGTTTTTTTGAGACAGGGTTTCTCTGTATTGTTTTGGAGGCTGTCCTGGAACTAGCTCTGTAGACCAAGCTGGCCTCGAACTCACAGAGATCCACCTGCCTCTGCCTCCCGAGTGCTGGGATTAAAGGCAAACACTTTAGAGGTAGTCTCTCTGGACAGCACGGGATGGCATTCGTCTGTCATTGGCATTGTTTAGGGTGCTTCTTTTGTTTTGTTTGGTCATGTCACATTTTAATTTTTCTGTAGTGGAGTTGTATCTGTCTTTTAAAAGTTATATTTGGGGAGAGCTGGCTCAGAGGTGAAGAGCATTGGCTCCTCTTCCAGAGGTCCCAGGTTTAATTCCCAGCAACCACATGGTGGCTCATAGCCATCTATGATGAGACCCGGAGCCCTCTTGTGGCCCGCAGGCATCATACATGCCGACAGAACACTGTATACATGATAAATTATTTTTAAAGTTATATTTGGATTTTGGGTCACAGAAACTATTTCCTTATACCCATATTATGCGGGAATTTACATTTTCTTCTTTAATTTTTGGTTTTCAGACAGGACCTCATGTTGACCTGACTCTCTGTATGTCAAAGACGGCCTTGAACTCCCGACCCTGTGTTTGTACTTCTCAAACAGGCTTGAGCCTCCCACTCTGGCTTTCACATTTTTCTAAACATTGTTTTGTTCTAACCTCTCATAGAGGATCAGGGTTCAGTTCCCAAGCATCTGATGACCTCTTCTGACCAGGCATGTACGTGGTAGTAGGCACACGCATACATGTGTTGGGGAAGTCCTGTTATTTGCCTGTTATTTGTCAGTAAAGTACTGTTGAGCCTATAGGAATCTAGATAGGTGGGGCTAGGAGTCCAGGAGGACTCTGGGAAGAAACACAAGAGAGTCGAGATGTAACGCCATGGGGGTAGGAAGCCCGGAAACCTCTCCGGTAAGAAACATACTTAGATTAACAATTATGGGGTAGCCGGGCGTTGGTGGCGCATGCCTTTAACCCCAGCACTTGGGAGGCAGAGGCAGGCGGATCTCTGTGAGTTCGAGGCCAGCCTGGTCTACAGAGTGAGTTCCAGGACAGCCTCCAAAACAATACAGAGAAACCCTGTCTCGAAAAAAACCAAAAAAAAAAAAAAAAAAAATTATGGGGTAATTACTTAAGTCAGAGCTAGCTAGTAAGAAACAAGCAAGGCCAACAGCTTCATAATTAATATAGCTTCCTGTGTGTTATTTGGGGACTATATCTCGGCAGAGCCCAGGCGGCTGGCGGGGGCTAAACCAAAGCGGCTAGCAAAGAAAAAGCTTCTTTTAGCATACATGTAGCCGAACACTCGCACACATGAACATTTTTATTTAAAGCTACACACACCTTTGTAAAATGTTATTTCGGTGTGTGTGGATCGTCAAAGGACAATTTTCAGAATGCCATGTTGGAGTTGTCAGGTTTGAGGGTGGCTATCTCCCTGGATCTGTATTTTCATGTTGGTTTTTTTTTTGTTATTGCTTGTTTTAAATTACAGTGGATCTACAACCTACTTTTGAGTTTATTCTTTGCATGGGGTGAACAAGTGTGAACCAGTACCTCATGAAATGAGCAGCTATGGGGCTGGAACTCGATCTGTAGACCAGGCTGGCCTCGAACTCAGAGATCTGCTTGTCTCTGCCTCCCGAGTGCTGGGATTAAAGGTGTGTATGCCAGGCTGCAACTGCTCATTTGACTCCATGGTTGTGAAGCCTGAAACCATGGTCTTAAAAGAAAGGAAAGCAAAACCCATGAACAAAAGGCCTGATATCTTACTAGGCCACAATATAAAAGGACAAAGTCCCTTCCCACAGAGAATGTAACAAGCAATTTAAACAAAACAAAAATGATCTGTTTTATTTACAACACTCAGTGCATCTTACACATGACATATTTTCATTCCCCAAGTCTTTTGAAAGCAATTCCAATTCCAGTTTGTGCAAGGAGTTTACAGGAAAACCTTAAGACAGCCATTAGACACCTTAGAACCTAAATCCTAAATTTTGATATTTCACACTATATTAGTAGAGGACTTTAATTAAGAAAAACTAAACTCTGCAGTTAATTACCACCCTCTGGGATCTTTAACTCGAATACAAACTGGATTAGCCTGTGAAATAATACCATTAGATTTGGATAAATTATTCCGACCTTCCCTCCCCAATAAAACACATGCACAAATTAAACATGGCAAATTACACTAATGATATTTTATCTCAATACTTTCTTTTTGGACTCTCTCAACTGTTCGTTTCTTAATTTAGGGTATGGATGGGGAGGATGCAGTTGGAGAACTCTGGCATGGCTACCACTGCTCCAGAACAGAAAGGCTTTCCAGAAAACCCATGGCAGGGAGGCAGGGGACATCAGAGACCCTCACCCCAGCTAGCACAAAACAATAGGGCCCTCTTTCTTGCCACTCCCTAATCACCATTACCTAGATCTCTGAGCCGATGACCACAGAAACCAGTTCCTCTCTCCGGTGACAAGGAATCCGAGTCCTGTCACATAAAGATCTTTAGAGGCCACCAGCAATGAACACGTTAAAGGGAACTGAGTTAATTTTCCCTTGTATAGCTGCCTCCTTCTGAAGGACAAAAAGGGCTGGCTCATAAGCCAGACGGCAGGAAGGCACAGAGGCCATCTCCAAACTGACCCACCCAGTGTACCGCTGTGCTCTGTCTACTCCCTCCCATGACAATTTCTCCTCACAAAGACGGTCCTGTAACTACCTGGTGCAGGTGCCGCTTAATACAGGAAGTGATCGAATCCGGAGATAATGAAACAAGAAATCAAATTTCATGTTTGGCCCAGCCCAAAGAATTGTAAGGAAAAGGAACGCTGAGGTAGAGTTGAGAGAGTTCAACTGAACTTCTGAGTGCTGACCTTTTGGCACACTCTGTAGTTACAAATTCCCCTTGTGACACAAATGCGGCAGCCCCCGAGGGAACGTGAAGCTCACAGAGCCACCTCAAGGCTCCACTCCTGGCAGATCAGCTATTATTAACCCCAATGGTGAAGGCAAATAAAACAATGCTATCCATTTCTCAATTTATTTAAACAAGTCAATTAATTTAAAAATCCCACTCAAACAAAACTCTGACGACATGTAAACACACGGCCATGTTCCTGACACAGATGCCAACACCTGATAAAAAGCTGTGGATGGCTCTCGAGGAAAGCTGTCTGTTAGTAAGGCCAGTCTTCAGCAGGACTAAGCCATTTTGCATCTTGTAGCTTTCCTAGCAGGAAATACTATTACACTACAGCCAAATATAAAGACAGTATTCGATGGATAGATCAGTACCATTGGTTATAGCTTTTAAACAGGTTCATTCCCGGCGCCACATGAAAACAAGCCACTCACATCAACATCATGGCTTTTTTCTTTCTTTATCACAATTCACTAAGTGATGTTAATTATGGTCCTTTGTCAAACACGGTTTGGTAAAGGCTATTTACAGTGTACATGGCCAAGCATGCACTATTAACAGATACAGAGCGGCCTGCCAGTTTCCTAGAGATCACACAGTGCCTGAAAACGGTGACAGATCACACGTCAATGAAATCAACAGTTTCAAGCAGAAAATGTTCCTTTTTTTTTTTGACCACAATTGCAATAGATACATGAAAATTCTTATAAAAAACATGAATCCCCTTCAAGAAATTGATGCATATTCTACGTACTACAGGTTAAGGCAGTAAAAAAATGTATTCCTGATACCTGGAGGTCTCAACAATGTCAATTAAAGCTGTCTGACTACTTTGCCATTCTGCATCATATGCTCAAAAGTGGTGAGTTACTTCATTTTTAAAGTGAAAACATTACTAGCAACTAATAGGTTGACATTGGAAAAATTGCCAGAGAAAGGAAAAATATTAAGTTGATTTTGCCTTCCTGAAAGTTTTCAAATCATCAACAAGAGCATTATTTGTTAGTTCTCAGCCTTAAACATACCAAACAAATAATATAGTTTACCTTTCTTCATTTAAAATATACTGTTATTTTGAATAATTCAAGTAATGTAAGACTATCAAAAATAACTTTGTAAGCCATACGTTTGTCAATTGCATTTTTCAATATTTTAATTAAGAACTTTTCAAGAACTGTAAACTAAACCAAGACAGTTTAGTTAAACAAATGATAAATGACTTTTTATTTGCACTTGTGATTCTTTTAATACAAACTGCTACAACAAATATGTAAAGATATGGCAGATTACACATTTGATCAAAGCACTTTGATTTAAGCGTAAAACAGATTCAAACGGTCTAAGTTCGTGCATAAGGTCCAAGGAGCTGCCCACTGGTTTCCAGGCCGCCTTCTAATCAGAACCCATTATTCCTCAGCTGCAGACGAGACAGGGCACAATCTGTTGTAAACAGGGAACTGCTGTAAAACCAGGACAATATTCTTCAATCAAGATCACTCTTGTCCAATTGAAAAGACTCTCCCAAGTGCCTTCCAGCACTGTAGTATGTATTCCGTTGACTTCTTAATCTCATAAATTAACTTTCCATTGATTCCATTTTATGGTGGTTGTGTTCAGTTTTGTTTTAAAAATTGGTTTAAATTTATATAAAACTCTGTACATGTTCACAAATTATTGCATAAACAGCATAATATTCAAGACAGTGTTTGTAAACACATGTCCAATTCAGGAAAAAAAAATTCACGTTTCCCGTCTGGCCTTTTTCTTCTTTTTTATTTGTTTTGGAGATTCCCAGTTAGGTTCAGACTTGGCTAAAAGAAAAAAAGGGAGGGGGGTGAGGAGAGAAAAATATGATAGTCAGTATGGATCAATAATATAAAAGTAACAACTATGAAAAAAGTTTTAAATGTCCAAATGTCATGTTTTAAGTTTTCCTGTTTGGACATATCAAGTTAGTATTCTCTGCTTCCTTTCTCTTCTGAGTCAAGGTATCAGCTGTTTCTTCCTCTCCCCCCCTTCCCCCTCTTTGAGATGGGGCAGGGTTCTGTGCCTGACCGGAGAGGAGGAGGAGAGCGCATGTGCAAAGGAAAGGGCGGGGAGCCAAGCGCAGACTCGCCCGGCCAGCCCCTCACTGTCCTCACGGCTCACGGTATCCTAGCAGCCCAGCTCACAACTCTATCCTGAGGGCTCAAGGAACCACCTTCCACAAGGCAGGGCTTGCTCTACCGTCCTACCACAGACCCAGGATCAGAACTCTAGACTACACAAGGAAAACCAAGAAGACAAACAAAGCACTTACTCTGTGAGGGAGGCACACTGTTTTGCTTAGCATTTGACTTGGGTTTGTCTGTGTCTTGTAGCATCGGTGGCACTTGGGAAGAGCTCTTGTCAGAGTCTCCTTTTGATAAGGTGACAGATGGCTCGGTAGAGATAACAGGTGGAAGAGTCTTGATAGGCTGTTTTGGAATAAAATCATCTCAGAATATTGTATAATTTCATAAATATTAAGTATTAAAGCAATATCCAGAGGCTAGCAGCAAGCAAAATAAAATGGTCTCTAATTAGTTATAAGTAGCACTGTGACTCATTTCTGCCCTCTAGTGGCACAACTAAACACAGCATCATCTACAACAGCTGAATATACTGAGATAAAACAAAAATATACAAGTTAAAATTACCAAAAGCTAACTTTTTTGGGGGACACTGGCATACATGGGGGCGGGGAGCACACACCGTTGATCACAGCAGAGGCAGAGGCGGGTAGAGCTCTGTGAGTTTGAGGCCAGCCTAGTCTACAAATGGAGTTTCCGAAACAGAGAAATCCTGTCTCAAACAACAACAAAAAGTTGAAATAGCTACTGAATCTATCTCCTTCCTAATAAGCAGGGTATGGCAAACGGCAGCAGCTTGTGTGTCCCACAAGCAGACTGTGGGAAGGACTACTGACTGAAACCACTAGAGATCCTCAGACTCTTCAGTCTGCTAACGACATTAAGTTTCGGGTGGCAATACTAAGAATGCTTATTTAGAGTGTCTTGGGGTTGTGAGCGATGAGTGGATTGCTTCCCTGGTCAACTTTACCACTCACCATTACAGAACACAAAAACAAGGTGGACTTTTTTCCCTCACTCCTCCTCTTCCTGACTCCATCAACAAAGAGAAGTGACTGCTAGCGTTCTTCCTTCTACAGACATTGGCTCTGCGTTCACGCTGCTCACACCTCCTTACAGCTCCTTGAACTTCTTCACACCTGCAGCTTCGTTACGGACTTCTCATCTTCTCTTTCTGTTTTCTCTCTTTACTTATATTAAGTCAACCAGACTCAACTGCTTTATCACAAGGTGACCTCTGAGCAGGACTTAGATAAGACACTAGAAAGTCAAGCATTCTTTGCTGTATGCTAAGCCGTTCTGTTTACTGAGATCATATCCCTCTACTTCAGAAAGCATCAAAGCTAGGCGGGAAGTGTGACGGGCACTGTTGTAGAGCAAACTCCACGTCCCTCAGACAGATGCTGGCTCATCACCCACTTTGTAGCCTAGGTCCTCAAACAGCAAGTGGCACACAAACCTCTACAATGATTTCTGAATGTGTGAATGAGTCAGACAATCCAAACAGACCTGTTTTATTTAATTATCTAGATTTGTTTTATGTGGTTAAGTGTTTTGTGTATCATTTGCCTGGCACCCAACTAGAGGTACATATGGTTGTGAGTCACCCTGTGGTGCTGGGAACCAAACTCTGGTCTGCCACTTGCCTCTGCCTCCCAAGTGCCGCGAATAAAGGTGTGTGCTACCACGTCCCAGCCCAGATGACTGTTAATAAAAGAAAGCATTAACTGGGGGCTTGCTAATACTTTCCTGGCAGGAAGCATGGCAGTGGAGCAGTCCCACGGGGCAAGAGAGACTGGATCTGGCATGGGCACGTGAAGCTGAGAACCCAGCCCCAGAGACACACTTTCTCCAGTAAGGTCACACCTCCTCACCATTCCAATCCTATCAGAGAGCTCTACTATTTCATAACTAAAGTATTCAAAAGTTACCCAGGGAGAAATCAGGCTTTTGTTCCATGTCTGATGCACACCTTTCATAAACTAGTCCCTTCTGACTCAAATATTCCCATAAAGTACATGATTAAAAAATGTTACTGTCAAAAAAAAAAGTTTAGGCACACTCCTAAAATCCCAGCACTTGGAATGTGGAGGCAGGAAGATCAGGAATTTATGCCAGCTTTGGCTAGCCAAAACCTTATCTCAAACAAAAACAAAGCAAAACTAGACTGAACTTAATAACAAAACTTCAATTTTAAAACAAATGTTGGGAATCTGAACTAGTCCTATTAAGGTTTGAACTTTGCATAAACACAGCTGGTAAAAACACCTTCTCTTAGGTCTTCTATCCTTTACATGTCCAGATGTTCAGAAGGAACAAGCATCATATAGCAATCCTCTTCAGCATCAAGGGGACTCTTGAGATCAGCAGTGGGTGCTTGAAACTGTACACAGTACCAAGACCTATACTTCTGTTTTTGTTGTATCCCCCCCCCCTTTTTTTTTATAGCTTTGGCTGGCTATAAACTCAAGGGACCACCTGCCTCTGCTTCCTGAGTGCTGGGATCAAAGGTGTGTCACCACTCCGATACATTGCTGTTTTCTTTTTGGTTTTTTGAGATAGGGTTTCTCTGTATTGCTTTGGAGGCTCTCCTGGAACTCAAACTCTGTTCCAAGAGAGTTGAGGCTGGCCTAGAACTCACAGAAATCCGCCTGCCTCTGCCTCCCGAGTGCTGAGATTAAAGGCGTGTGCCACCACCGCCTGGCACTGCTCTTTTCTTTTCAACATTTCTGTGTATCTCAGCACCCCACCCCCAGGGTTTCTCAGTGGCTTTGGAGGCTGACCTTGAACTCACAGAGATCTGCCTGCCTCTGCCTCCCCAGTGCTAGAATCAAAGATGTAGGTCACCAACACGTGGTTTTGTTTTTCCTTCCAATTCAAAAGTTGAAAATCTTTTCACTTAAAGGAGAAGCACACACATAGTTTCTTTTTAATCAGCAACTGACATGTGTGCTTAGCAGCTATTCCTATGTAACATAAAAGGGTTATTTGCACAAGCACCAATGTCGTGACCAATCTGATAGCACTGATGAGTACCCATTGACAGATGGAAGTGCTTTACATAGTATGACATTCTACTGTGCTACTGAGAATGGCGTATTTGCATACTACTTCAAAAATGTTAACTACTGTATAATAATTAAGTCAAGAAAACTATTATTCTTTAAAAGTCACCTGGCTATTTTTGACGAGTACTTCAGCTGGGTCACTAGTGCTCGTGGTTTTCAGGGAAAAGGCTCTCTCCTGTTTTGGACGGGCTTTGGAGGAATTCACAGGAAGCTCTTCTCTAATGTCCTTTTCTAGTTCGTCTGTGTCCTGTAGAAAGAAGAAAGCTGTCGGTGAGATTAAACTTCTTCATTCTTTACTGATTAAAATCCTCTTTGTTATCCCAAAGACATGCTAAGAAAATAAATTCATTTGAAGACGTGCCCAAGCCAGGCACACTGAGCACATGCCTGTAATTCCAACACCTGGAGGTCAAGGCAGGAGGAATGTTACAAGCGAAATCCCGTCTCAAATCCTATTCTGTTAAAACACACACACACACAGAGACACACAGACACACACACACAGAGACACACAGACACAAACACACACACACACACAGAGACACACAGACACAGACACAAACACACACACCACAGAATGGGAATCAATCTAAGCAAATAGACCCACTCAAAGAGAGTAACATTCGATTACAAGAAGCACACAGTGAATAGGCTGATAATGGAAACAAGACTTTAAAAATAGTTTGACTCAGTGACTTCTTCCAGGAGCAATGTACTCACATGCATATGTACACATTATAAAGGATATACAGAGAACTCCAATCTGGTCATGACATGACTCAGTCATGTGATTTCAGGGACAAATCTCTTAGCTGCTTTTGTCTTTATTCCCTTAACTGTAAATGTTTGCCCAAATTTCTAAGATTCCGTCTAAGTTTTAATGCTACTGTTTAGACTAAGTTTAGTGAATTAATCCTAAATCACATTACATGCTTACACATATATAATAAGTATATGCACTACAATTACGTAGGAGCCCAACTAATAAACCGTACTGTCACTTAACAAGCACACATGTATAAAAGATGAAAGGTGTTTCCTAACGGAAAAGAACACATAGAATTTGCTGCATGTCAAGGCATGGGAATGTCAAACTCTAGTGCCTGTTCTGACAACTACCTGACTGCCAAAGTGTGCTTCCTAGCAGAAAGGGGGCTCGGTGGGCAAGGGAGGGTTATTTGCTACCAAACCCAACAACTGAATCTGATCCCCAGCACCCACATAGTGGAGAGAACTAACTTTCTACAAGCTGGCCTCTGACCCCATTCCCCCCCTCACACACACACAAGCAAACACCATTTAAAAAATTTCTTTCCAATATTGCGGTTCTATGGAATGTGATTTGACAGTAGTAAGCTTGAATAGCAACTTAAAATTCCAATGTGAATTTAAATTGAGCATGTAGCCAAACCCAAAGCTTATTGATTGGGTGAGACTGGCTAGGCACCGAGCTTCAGGGACCTGCCCGTCTCTGACCCTGTCCTTCCCTGCTGAGGTGGCACACACCACCCTGTCAGAACTGTGCTTGTACAGCAGGCACTTCATCAAATGAGACTCCTCCCAAGTCCCTGCCTATGTTCTTGATGAACTCCACTATTTCACTGGTAAAGAAATGCTCCTGTAGCAATCGTCAGAGACTGGGGAGGGGTAAGAGTTCAGGCAGGAATCGGGGCACGAAGAGGCAAAAGATTACACAGATCAGGTTTCTCCAGGACCACAGAAGGTTCTGCTTTCTACTGTCTTGGAAGACCATGTTGGTTTTACAACTTCAGGAAACACTGGCACCCTTGCACTTCACCAGAGGCCCACAGATGCAAAGGGACAGGACAGGTGCTTGTAGCAACCTCCACCTTGGTGTGCTGCTTCCCAAGAATATGGAAGGGTATGGTTAGTAGGCAGCACGGAGAGAGCCAAACAGTTGTGCGGGCTGGTTTTAGGTGTCCCTGGGGGTGCTGTCACTGGAGAGGAGGGTTAGAAGGCAGGCAGATGGGGAATGGAGTGGACCCCGTCCGTTCCAACCACGGATTGCATAGCTAAAGGCATTGTGCAGGAGCTCTAGAGTTTGCTGTCATGTGATCTTGCGTTGCCTCTCTTACCTCACCATTTCATAATAAAAAGTACACATGCAATCTGATTTAGTTTTAAAGGTATAAATCCTTGATCGAGTTTTAGGGTAACCCAATCCTTAAAGAATTATTTATATTTTACGTATGAGTGCTCTGCATGTACACCATCAGATGCTATTACAATACAGATAGTTGTGAGCCACCATGTGGGCGCTGGGGATTGAACTCAGGACCTCTGAAGAGCAGCCAGTGCTCTTAACCTCTGAGCCATCTCTCCAGCCCCAGGGTAATACAACTTGTATGACATTAATATGTTGCAATTCTCTAACATGTCCCAAATTTTCACATGTACAACTTTCGTATTTTAACTCACTGGAGGGGGCAGGAGAAATGTCTCAGTGGCTAGGGTCACTTGTTGCTCTTGTAAGGGAACTGGGTTGGACAACCATCATCCACTTGATGGTTCATAACCACCTGTAACTTTAGTTCCCGAGGATCTGACGGCCTCTTCTGACCTCTCTAGGAACGTGTGGTACACATACATGCAGGCAGATGGTCCAGATGCTGTCTCTTATCTGTACATATTCTTGTGTTTGTGGGTGTATCACAGTGAATGCTCACTGTTCAGGAACTTTACCTGTGTGAGAGAGTTGTCTTCACCTTGCTTCTTCTTTTTCTTCTTTTTCTTTTTAGATTTTCCAGTTGCAAGAGCTCCTTCTCCTTTTTCTTTATCATCATCTGAAACCTGATGTTAAAAGCAAAATTCTGAAGTAAACCCAACGGGTTAAGCTTGCACTACTCACAACATTTACTCTAAAAGCTTCAGTCACTATGTTTGGTCTTTATCTTCCAAATATAAATAAGAATAAGCTACGACTAACAAAATTTTAATAAAAACTTACATTACTTAAGAACTCACTGGAAAGAAATAGGAGGATCAGGACTTTAAGGTCAACGTGGGCTGGATGAGTTGTCTCAAAACTGCTCACAACTCTCACACCCTAGATCCCATTCTTAAAGTACCTTCCAGGAAAGGACAACTACCTTCAATTATGTCCATTCCATTTTCTAAATATTTACATTAAAAACCTAAATTTTACACAAACAGATCTTGCTTACTCCATTTTCTAGCATCTATTCATTTTCAATATAGCTTTAATTCATCCCCTTTCTCTCTTCTTTGCAGTGTTAAGGATTGAATCCAGGGCTTGGCATCATCTCTCAGTAGACTTCAAACTCTAGACCCTTTTCATTTACAGATGCATTAAAGCAGACACCAGTAGATTAGGACAACATCCCCCCCCCCAGTAAATTAGGATCCACCTCAAGGCCAATGTCCCCCCTCTTCCTCGGTGTGCGTACACATACACGTGTGCATATCTGTGTTTGTACCATGGCACTGGCATGGAGGTCAGAGGGCAACTTCGAGTATTGGTCCTCATCTTGCATCTTTACTGTTCAATGCTATGTATCCTGAGACTCAGCTCCTATCTTGCTATAGGACCACAGGAACTACAGATCTGTGCTACCTTGTGGCTTCATGTGAGTTCTAGGAATATAACTCAGGTCCCATGCTCGTATGGCCAGCACTTCCTCAGCCCTCTCCACACTGTGTACAAAGTTCATTTCCATACCGTCTAAACGCATTTGCAGGACACAGAGCCACACAGACTCTATGGTTCTTCTGTGACTAGTCTGCCACCCTCCTCATATTGTGTATTGCTGTCACCTACTGGAGTCCTATCTGCTTATTTCTTCCCTGAGCCTTATTTGCTAGTACTTCTCTTTAAAAAAAAAAGTTGTTTGTATGGGTGTTAAGCCTGTCTGTCAGAAGATGCTGTGTTTGGTGCCTGAGGTGTTGGATACCTTGGGACTGAAGTTACACATAACCACCTGTGAGGCACCATGTGGGTGATAGGAATCAAATCCAGTCAAGAGCAGCCAGTGAGTTTGTCCCTTGAGTCATCACTCCAGGCCCTAACACTGATCTCCTAACCGCTCAATTTTATGAAACATGACTTTTAGTCCAAGATTTAAAACAAAATTTTTTGATGGTGAGTATTGAACCCAGGGCCTTGTACATGCTAAGCACCTGCTCTATTAGAGTCACACCCCTAAGCCAGATTCCAACATTTGTAATGAAATGACCTAAATTCCCAGGAAGTGAATGCATCGGTCATTTTCAGGCTTAATGTTCCTCCCTACGCTGCTCAACAATTCCTCCTTCCTGAGAATCAACTGTCTCTGCCTCTGGAGCCTACAGTCTCCTCCTTAGTCTCTCTTTTGTGGGGTGGGGAGGGCGGTGTCTTGACACAGGGTAACAGTCCTGGTTGTTCTGAAACTCGATCTGGAGACCAACCAGGCTGCCTCAGACTTACCGAAATCCACCTGGCCCCGCCTCCTGAGATTAGAGGTGGGGCAGTCATCAGTATGATGAGGACCTCCTACTTCCTTGTACTCACCCTTTGATCATCAGGGGCCGGCTCCTGGGACTTGAGCAGTGAAGCTCTTTCTTCATCTACCCAGTTCCCCCACTCCTCTGCTGGCGCACTCCAGTCTGAGCTGGGGTCAGCAGGAGACAAACCATCTAGAAGGTAACAGCACGGATTGTTAGCGCCATTCTGCCACAAGCTGAAATTCAAACACTAAAAATCCTTCTTGTGAGTTAGGCTGTAATCTACACTGTGTTTCTTCCCCTGAGCATATTTTAGGAGCCAGCAAAAAGGAGAAACACAAGGCACACTGATTAGTTATGCCACTCTCCTTGTCAGTCTTACGAATCTGCACCTTCCCCACTGCCATCTTTAACCTGGACTAAGGTCTCGTCACACATTTGTAGCCAATTTATTTTCTAGGGCACAGAATTAAGCTTTAATCATAATACCAAAATTATATAACCCCCTGTCACCTCAAAACACACTTCCTCCCATCTTTATAAGCTCTTCAAGATCAGTTCTTCAAACTCAGCACAACCTCTAATAGTTAACTTGTAGCCTCTCTTATCTGCTGACTCTCAAAGCATCTGAGCCACCTGTAGGGCTGTGTATACTCTAGTCTCAAAATCAGCTTTAACTCTTCCTGAACTCCCGTCTTCCGCTCCAGAGGCACTGACATTTTATTTAGGAAGCTATCACTCACTGGTCAGTGCCAGAGGGGAGCACAGGCCTTCAATTTTCCTTGGCTAAGAGGTTCCCAGAGTTAACTCTTACCTCTCCTTCCTACAAACCATTCATTTCCACATACATTCTTATAGCATCTACTTACAGCCAAGTTTTAAGATGAAACAGGCTATACTTTACTCCAAATGGCCAGGAAGTCTTCTTAGCAAAGTTTAACTAGAATAAGTCCAGTAAGTTCCCATAATTTCTTACTGCTACTAATACCAAATACGAAGTTAAAATCTGCATTTTACTACTTCTGGGATTTCTAGTATGTCCCACTGATATATTCCTAAGGTAATGCCAAGCAAGACTTGGACATACATTCTTAGGATCTAGGAGGCAAGCTGCCTGTTTTATGCTTACTGCTACATGAATTTTCCCAGGTCAACTGTTTACTTTTTACAGGAGAGACTCTCATAGATCTCCACAAAAGCTCATAGGAAAACAAAAACAAAAAGGCTAAACAGACAGAAACTTCTGCACAATGTGACCACAAATTTATGTGAGAAAGACATATATCAGTAATATATGTATCGTCTCTTCCTCACTAGAAGTTTATCTACTCCTAGTGAGGAAAATGTGCAACAGTGATTACAAGTGTCAGGTATGCTAGAGAAAAGGCAGTCCTGCCCCGTCTCAAAAGTTCAGTATCATGTGCCATGAGCAGATGGATGTGATCCCAGCCAGCACTAACAGAGGTTAGGAACCTTACTGTCTAAAATGTCCATGAATAACCCTGTATCACTTAATGTGACACACAATACTCTTAACCCTCCCACACACATCTTTTTTTCTTTCAAGACAGGGCTTCTCTGTGTAGCCTTGGCTGCCTTCCAACTCCGTAGACCAGGCTGGCCTCAAATTCAGATTTGTCTTCTTCTGCCTCCAAGTGCTGGGATAAACAGCATGCACCACCACACTTGCTAAACTTCTTAGTCTTAAGGGCTCTATCCCAACTCCATGCAGTCTGACAGGATGTCTGATATCAGGTACACTTACAGCAGCAGCTCACAGCAATATAGTAATCACTCAACAAATGGCAGCTACTGTTTTACTGTCATTGCGACATTAAAATCAGTTAAAACCAGTAATATTTTTTGAGAAATCTCCATGATACACTCTTTTTGTTTTAAATGCTAGGGATTCAACTCAGAGTCTTACCCATCACAGTTAAGTGCTCTATAATGAGCTAAACCCCAGCTCTGATACATCTTAAATATAGAAAGTGTGGGAAACAACTATACTCCCTGATTCAATGTCGGTAAAAACATGAACAGAAACACAAATCTGTGCCGACGATAGCTATTTGTTATGTTATTTGTTCTCTTTACTGAATAGATTAATTTCTCAATAATTTAATAACCCAAATCTAAACATTATTCAGAGATTTTCCAATGAATAATCCTTAAGGTTCATAGGTCTAATGTGCTAATAAACTATGTAGTATTTCTGTTTTGGTGGTGGTGATATTTGAACATGGCTTTGTGCGGGCTGGGCTTGCACTCTACCAATAAGTTATATCCCCAGCCCTAATGGACTTCTTAAACACAGTCAGTCTTCTTTCTGGGCACATGCCCAGCATTCGGGAGGCAGAGGTGGACGGATCTCTGTGAGATTGAGACCAGTCTGGTCTATAAGAGCGAGTTCCACGACAGCCAGGGATACACAGAGAAACCCAGTCTCGGAAAAAAAAAAAAAAAACACAAAACCAAAACCATAATTTACTACTCATAGTAGTCCTATTATTAGAGCAACTTCCCCACCCCAAAATTTTTACGAGTCTGCCAATGCCTTTTAATACAGAGCTGTGTTTATTTATATATGTATATGCATGTATTTATATTATATGGGTAACTCGTGCAATGACGTGTGTAGGTTCAAGAATAGCACTGCTAGCCTCAATCTGGAGATCAGCTATTTCTATCTTCTTTTGAGACAGATTGCTTTCTATGTGTGCAGCCCTTGCTGTCCCGGAACCCACTCTGTAGACCAGGCTGGTCTCAAACTCTCAGAGATCTGCCTGCCTCTGCCTCCCGAGTGCTGGGGTTGAAGGTCAGTGCCACTATGGCTGCCCGACAAGGGATCAGTTATTTCTGTCAGTGAAGTCACTCTGCGATGTTTAAACAGATTCACTCCTCCACTGAGCGCCTTTTGCTCTCTTGCCTCCCTCTTGCCGCCAGGTTAATCTGCCCCACTGCTGCTGCTGTTTCACGTCCTTTCACTCGCGGCAGACCCTGTGCTCCTGAACTTCCATCATGGATTAGAGGCCAGCGGCTCTCCAGAACATTCCACGCAGCAGACTGGGACTACTGAAGCACCCCCCTGCCGTACGGACTGAGTAACCACCAGCTGTTGCCCCACAATGAGAGACAACTATTAAGGGATTGTTGATTCTAATTTGTGGGAAATTGATATTAAAGCAACCATAATATACGATATACAATGCATTCTATAAATTCAGGAGTGATAATTACATTCAAGAAGTATAATACCCCCAAACAAACAAACAAAAAATAAAATTCAGACAAAACGAATTAAAAATAAATTCTGGCCGGGCGGTGGTGGCGCATGCCTTTAATCCAAGCACTCGGGAGGCAGAGTCAGGCAGATTTCTGTGAGTTTGAGACCAACCTGATCTACCATTCGAGTTCCAGGACAGACTCCAAAACAATACAGAGAAATCCTGTCTCAAAAAAACCAAAAACAAACAAACAAATAAATACATTCTGGATACAGAAGGCTGTCAATATGGCAGTTTTTGGAAGATGGTATTCTTGATTGTGTGTGTGTGTGTAATTAGTATAGAATTTCTCTCACAATAAGGTCTCAGGTAGATCAGATTAGCCTTAAACTTGACACTCAATGAAGTTATGAGAGATCCTGAACTCCTGATCCTCCTGTCTCTTCAAGGGTTCTAGTTCCCAAATACTGTGATTACACTCATTTACCCCTAAGACAGGGTTCTTCTGTGTAATCCCAAGACTCATTTTATAGACCAGGCTGGCCTCAAACTTAGAGATCTGCCTTTCCCTGCCTCCCAAATGCTGGGATTAAAAGTGTGTGCCACCATTTTTTTCTGCATTTTCATTTTATGTGATCTGTGTTTACCTGCATTGCATATAATTTGTGTGCCATGCCCATGGAGGCCTGAAAAGACTATTAGATCCCTTGGAACTAGAGGTATAGATGGGGGTGCCAGAACTGAACCAAGCTCTCCTATACGGGCAGCAAGCGCTCTTACTAATTCAGCCATCTCTCTCGACCCACCAGGACCACTCCTGTAAGATTAACACTTACGTATTCACTGTGTGTGTGTGTGTGTGTGAACACATATAGAAATGAAAGGACAACTATGGGAACCTGTTGTCTGCTATCAATTGGGTTTTGGGGACCAAACTCAGGTGGTAAGGCAAATGCCCTTACCCAGTAAGCCATCTTGCCAGAACACAGCTGGTCTTAAGCATCTAGAATCTTACCAACACACTTTTGTATGTAATTTTTCTTTATCAGCATCAATGGTTTTCATATTAGAAGCCCTCATAAAGTTAAGGTAAAATGTCCTGCAGCTGCTGGCTCAGTAGTTTTAGCTCTCAGCAGCCCAGATCCCTCACTGCTGCTTTTGAGTTCTGTACTGCCGAGATGATTATTTTTCCTAAAAGCAGTATACACATTTTTTTCTTTAATATACATCTTGATACATTATAATTTGTAGAACTTTCTCAAAACTATTCAAAGTAGACAGAATGGACTCTGTTCTATTTTATAGTCCAATATAGATTTCAAAACATATGAAATCCTGTATTCTAGGCCCAGAACTAAAACTAAACCTTCCAAACAAGTGCCTTTAGTAGTGCATGGTGTCACACACCTGTAATCTGAGAACGCAAGACTGAGAGTTTATGGTCAACCGGGCTGCAAAGTGAGACCATGTCTAAAAATACACCATCACAACATAGGACAAAAATCAAACAGTCACAACTCCACCATCCTAATCTTCAGACATGGGCCTCTCTAATTACCTTTCTAACCTAACCTCCCTCACCCTGCAAGGACTCTGCTTCAGTCTCTGTGTTGTAAGCTTGCCTCCATGACTACCAGTGTTATTGTGACTGTACCCCACCAAGAGAACAAGTGGAGCAAGACTAGCAAGGTTTGACTCCCATCCCCTTCCACTTAACTAGCTGATGCCTATAGAAAGAGACTTCCTCTTGTTTCAATGTCTTTATCTGAGACGTGTGAGGGAAACAGCATCTACCTAATGCAACTGTCTAAGCATTAAGTGAGATGAGACCAGCCCCGGGCAGACAGTGCTTGCTCACACGTCATACCAAATATTGTAAAGAATGGCAACAGCAGGAATGGTGGTGTATGCCTTTAACCCCAGCACTCGGGAAGCACATAGTAGGTACATCACTGTGGTAATTTTAGAAATGAACATTAAATCTACCCTTTCTTTTCTAAAACAAAGACCAAAATAATGGAATACATACAAGGTAGGAAAGAACGTGACATAAACATTCAGAGGAAAGAATAAATTCTGAAAACTGGACTTATGATGGGGAGAGATTTTGGAGGCTGTCCTGGAACACACTCTCTGTAGACCAGACTGGTCTTGAACTCACAGAGATTTGCCTGTCTCTGCCTCCTGAGTGCTGGGGTTAAAGGTGATTCTTTCTTTTAAACTTATGTCTTTATTGGAAATTGGGCTCTGAAAGTGGTTGTCTACTAGTACAAAATGTACACACAACACAAATAATTCAAAGCAACTGCTGTATAGTCTATTCTTTCTTTTAAAACAAAACCAGAAAAATAGAATTATTCATTTAAAACAGAAAAATCTAAAAATTAGTCCTACAGAACAACTATGAGAACATTAAGACTGCCTCAGTCATAATAGAGTTAGTTTTAATTCCATAGATATTCAGAATCAAGTTCCAAGCAGTATAGCTAGTGTTATATTATTAAGACCTTTAAAGGGGAAAATTCGGATTAAAATTAAGACATAAGGCAGGAGTTCAGGATGCTAGAAAGAAAACTCTGAGGAAAGTAACTGAAAGAATGTAAAAGGACATACTTAACCCAGACCATTCATCATCGATATGGGGCTGGTTGCGGCTAACATCCCACTGATAATCAGAAGAGGCAGATTGAGAAACTGGCTCAGCAGCAGACCCTTAAATGAAAAAAGGAATGCAAAAGAATTAAAAGTGTACTCTCCTAAGGATGTTTCATAACAATAGTTCTATACTTTGCACACAGACTTTTTCTTCTAAAAGGAAACATTTAGATGTAAATTAAAAGGAAAAGTAAAATTGAGAGCAATACATGATTTAATTCAACTCCCAACACTCATACCAATCAGAGTCTGACTTTTGTTATCTGCAAATGTCAGAATGTTGAAAAAAGCTCAATTTTTCTTCTTAAAGGTTAAGTAGCACAACACAAAATCTTAATGCTAGATGCTTCAGGGTATCCTGGGAACTCAGAAAAACGATTAGAATATGTTTGAGTTAGCTCAACTTTTTTTTTTAGAAGAGGTGAGACAGAAGTGTCAACAGAAGAGTTGTTAGGTAAAAGAGTTAAGTTCAGGGACATTTAAAAGAACAGAACCGTGTTTTCAAAGTGTGGCTGCCGTCGTCTTAGAGGGAGAGTGAGAAGAAGCAGGTGCAGTCAGAGTTGGGGCTCCAAGGAACCAGATGAAAGCAGTGCTGGCCCAATGCCCAGAACTTCATACAACAATTTTAATACATTGTGGGGTATAATAGTCCATGGAAGTAAAGTCAATCCCACTGTCCTATTCATTTGAGAATGCAAATGAAAGCATTCTACTATCAGGTACACAGAGACAAATAATCAGAAGACTTTATGTGACTCTCATACTCACCTTGGATTTAGAGCCACTCATAGGAAAAAAACGGTTAAGAAGCACAGCTCGCTGTTAGCATAAATAAAACTAAAAATCACTTCTTTCCCTTACAGTCTTCACTAATTTATACATTTCTTCTTGATTATAAACTTGCTAAAATTTCACTAATGATTACTCACCCATTATATACTCAAAATAGTTAATCTATTTTAATGCAAAATTTAGCAGATTACCCAACAAATGTGTTAATATTTAGCATATCAACCACTCAGCTACATAACCATAAAATTGTTTGCAGTAACTCCTATTGCTTTCTCTGAATGTATGTATATGTGTTGTATAGTCATCAAATGAAGAAAGCAATTATCTTGCACTCCTGGAAAAGAAATGTAATTGACAACACCATGTGTTGGCAAACTGCACCGTGCAGGCCAAGTCAAACCACTGATTTTGAATGGCCCATGAACTAAGAAGAATTTCATATATATTTGGTTTTATCCCTTGAGACAGGATTTCTGTCTAACAACAGTGAAGCCCCAAAAGGAAAGAAAAAATTAATTTACTATACGGAATTGCAACTCAATTTTAATGGCATGGGCCACTGGACAAATGGCAATGAACATGAATAGGTAACTGGTAATTCATGGAAAAATTTCCAATTGCATCAGTGACTTAGAAGTCAATCAAAACAATTCGTGCATTTTTTTTTTTTTGGTTTATTGAATCAGAAAAGACTTAAAAAAAATTCCCAGCCTCAGTAAGCAAGAATACCATCAATGGACACTCACACCAAGAATGAAAGTATGAGAGTCTGATAATGCAATGACCATGTTCTCTTTAACCCAAACCACTCGTAAGAATCTACCCTAAACAAATACACTAAATGAAACATTACTTAAAACAGCTTTTAAAAAGTCAGACTCCAATAATACGGAAATAGCTAAGTAAACTATGCTATATTTGATAACACAGCACAAGGGCTGGAGAGATGGCTCAGTAGTCAATTCCTGGCAACCATGGTGGCTCACGACCATCTGTAATGAGATCTGGCGCCCTCTTCTGGCCTACAGGCAGAACAAATAATTCTTATAAAACAAAAACAAACAAAAAAAAAAACAGCACAAAGGCCATTAAGTAAATGTGCTCATAAGGGCAAGTAAAACTTTCCTCACAAATTTGAGGATGGGGAAAAGGAACATAAAAATGCACAAATTCAAAGACTGATTACAGCTGCCACTGGATGGTGTGATAATACGTTTCCCCTTAACCTATTTGCAGTTTTCCATATTTAATAAAGATTTCTTTTCCTATAACACACAAGCACATGTTGCTTAAAACACAATGTTTCTCAATAGGGGAACTACTAATTTCTGCCATTAAAACCTAGGGGAAAAATAATTCAAAGACACCTTTGTATAGACTATAAAATAAAATGGATGCTATACACTTGTCTTGTACTTGTATTTACTATTTTTATTTACTAAAATCTATCATGTCTACTCACATATCAACTCTAAGTTAGCCATCCAGAGGAATGGATGCGACAGAGAACGTGAAAACACTATATAGAGAGTAAACAATGTCATTCATGCTAGTTTCCACTTGCTCTGTTCTATGCAAAGGCTGAGGTCACCTAATTATTCCTATTACTCCTGCATAGCAGGACTGATATTTCTTCTTCGTTTTGGCAAGACAGGATCTCATCTAGCTCAGGCTATCCTCTAACTCATTATGAGCTGAAGATGACCTCCTGGTCCCCTAGCCTCTACCTTGCAAGTGCTGGGATTACAGGCATGCATTACTATGCCCAGCTTAGGAATGCTTCTATTAATGATTTGCTTTCCATCACCAATCCTGAAAAATCCAAGATGTAGTAGATTGCCAATTTAAAATGAATTACACTTTCCCCTAAGAGTTCTTACCAATGCCAGAAAATATGGAACGATCACTCCAGTTCCTTCCCCAGTCTTTCCCATTGGTATTAGCATCAGCAGTGTCTTGAGTCCAAGCAGGTGGCTCTGTTTTCCTCTTGCCTGCAGAAGCAGGTGGCACAGAGTTCCACTTGTCCTCACCTGCACTCATCTGTGAGGAGAGTTTTACAGACTTTTCATTCCAGCCTCCTCCATTGACAGTAAGATTTTCATTCAATCCTGAAGAAACTTAAAGAAAAGAAAGTAAAAATTAAAAACACCCAATTTTTCTTGTGTGTGTGAAAAACAGGGCATTTTCAAGTTTCTATGGTAACTCAACTTTTGCTTAGTCCTCTCTTCCTTCTTATTGCACTTTCAAGTAGGTTTGAGTATAAGAAATAAATTATACAGTTACGACATGGTTACCACAGATCCCTTTTAACATTTGTCTCTGAGACGGGGTCTCACTTTAGCTCATTTTACTCTCATGGTTCTCCCATCTCTGCTTCTACAGCGCTGGGATTACAAGCATGTACCACAATACCCGACTACCAGATCACTTCTTGATTTAAGTCAACAGAAGGGTAAATGGAACATGTATACTAGTGATGTTCTCAATGTCAAATTGACAAACTGAAAACAAGTATTCCAGTATATTCTGAATACTCACCTACCACGAAGACTTCTTAGCTAGTTACGGTTCTTTCCTTAAATACACCTTTGTATATTATATTATGCTTAACGACTGCACATCACAATCAACTAAGAAATTTAAACAGACTCTATGGCATAGGCTCAGATCAATTAAGATGAGGACCGTAAGAACAGTCTGTGTTTACCTCCCTAGATGTGTAGCCAGGACTGAGATGCTGGGCATTAGGGAAGTGTTAATAAAAGGCTCTTTCCTTCTCTGTGACACTTCTGCTTTAGGCCAGCACACTGCTCTGCTTGCTTCAGTAATGAGAAATGAGCGAATTACGTTAACTTTGTGAAGCATCCAACAACTTTAAACTATTTAATCACAAAATATTTAATACCATCAAGGAAGCAGCTAAAATTTATAGTAGCTATGTTTTCTTAAGATACAGACTAAAGTCTTTTTATTCCAAATATGCCCGTATTACATTCATGTCCAACAAAGATCCTTCTATATTGGTTCAAATGATGCAAGCAAGACCTGAAATTACACATAAAGTATTACTGTTTTTATATACAGGAAGGGAAGTAGCTAGAACAAGAATGTGAGTGAGTTTCCTTTTCCATTTTTCAAAATCTCTGGGCTATGACCATATTAATGTAGAAATTAAAAATCACTTTAACCCCCTTTATTGCCTTCTACATCATTCATGTACGGAAAGAGTCATGTATGCAAGTTTCTATTTTGACGGGCCTTAGTTTAAGTTACATGTAATTTCTCTCACCCTGAAGCGCAGAGTCTCCTTTTCCAGACTTAAGGTTGCTAACTTGAGCATTTAGATGAGAGTCACCTGGGTTGAAATAGAAATAAAATTTATTTAATACTAAATAGGTCATTATGCACATTAAATCAGGAGGAACATACAACTGTTATTTATAATAAATTGTTCTTTCAAGTGCCAGTTTTGACACTGAAAAAAGTGATTTTATAACATATTTCACATGTCCACAGGAAACTGAGTCTATAGTCACCACATTTTTAGTCAATTAAAATGTTGGTTCCTAGAAAACTGCCCCATTATGGATTATTATGAGCACAGCCTGTTACTCTGCAATGCTTCTAAACTCTGAAGGCTCTTATTGAAGAATCAAGCTCTGAAATTAGATTCAGTTTTGCCTCATCTCAGCATGAGCTGACTTCAACAATTCCAGAGGCAAGCATACCACCTTCAGAACATCGCCAGACTTGGGATACTAACAGGAGAGATATGGTGAAACATGAGAATTACATGTTCTAACATGAAAACTCCAACTCTCTGACACAATAAGCATAATCATCACAATATACCAAAAACAAACTGAAGAACTCAAAACACCTATGAAGTATGAGGTGCAAGCAAGGCAGGCATGCCCTAATCAGAAAAAAGGGTCACCAACAAAAAAACTAAAACTACAGACACCATTTGACAGCAGAATGGATAAAGAGAACTCATTGCTGTACTATGGCAGTAAATTTCAGTGAGTCAGCAAGCAAAGAACAAAAATAAAAAATAACAAGGTTAAGAAGGTGATCTGCTAACAAGCAGGGGCAGAAAACAGGGAGATCACTAACAAAAAGACAAAGGAAATAAAGCAGTGCTTTGCAGCTAGTGAGCAGCATCACTCTGCAAACTGCTGTCTTCAGGGTAAAGTGTTAGCAATGCCAAGCGACACCTTGAGGTGGCTATCAATATTGGATAGTTTGCACAGCTGAGTTCTTAGTAGGAAGGACCTTGGCTTAATTATCTTTGAAGCTCTGATCTAGCTTTATCAATGCTTAAAAATTGCCAAAACATAAACCAAACCAAAATCAAAACAACAACAAAAAACTGGCGTGGATAACAGAGCCTGCACTGACCACCACATGCTTGCTTCATGTTGGAATGAAGAAAGTGCCCAACATGCAGAATGGTGATATTTCATTCAATCAATGTCTTATGCACGCTAATGGAGATGTCAGAGGACTGCAGCACAGCAACACACACAGGAAGGAAGCAACAACACTTTCTAGTGTGACTCAAGGCAGAAAGGCAAATTTTAATTTAATAAGCCATTCATTAGGCACTCTTAACAACACTGCTGTTGTGTGGTTCACAACACTCTCATGAAGAAGGGTATATCAGCACAATGATGTTAGCAGACCCAAATAGATTGTGACATAATAATTTGTCCATCTGACTTAAAGGAGTTTGATTTGATGTACCACTCTTAAGTTCCACTAATATACCTTTATTCTTCTTGGGACCAACAGGAAATGATGCAGCTGTAAGTTGCTCGGTGGTGACTGTGATGGTATTTTCTATCCCAGGGATAGTTGCATCCAATGGACCAGAGTCAGTCAGTACTTTATCACGTTTACGTTGTTGTCGTTTCTCTCTGTGACTAATTTTAGTTTCCCAGGCCCCTGATACAGCCCGAGAAAAAAAGTGTTATTCAGTAAGGGGAAAACAAAAAAGTTGTAGCTTTGAGGGAAAAAAAATATGGGATGGGGCAGACATAATAAATTTAGATATTAAGCTAAAAACCAAGAGTGCTGAGTATATTAGTTGGCCCTAAGAATTTATTCTAATCTCATGTTATTCCAGGCAAAAAACTATTTTTATTCTAGTTTTGTTTTTTAGTAAAATTTTTGAGTGTGGTTTAGAAAAAGTAACAGAAAGGAATTGTCTCTTATCTTTTTATCCTGTTGGGCAGAAGCGACAGGAGAGTGTTACATTATCTGCTACTAACATATGAGTTTAGGGTGTGATGATAATAAATGGCTTATTCAAGAATTTTGCACACAGCCTTTTAGGAATGGTAAATTTAAGAAAAAATGGGAAACTCCAAACCATATCTTTAGGAAACAAAGACAAGATGAATGGCCTCTCAACTGTCAGAATATTGAGCAGACATAAATTTAAAGGATAAGCACCATTAGATGCTTAAATGAGTTACATAACCAAAGTGTTTAACAACATCACAGATCTTTATGTTAAAATTTATGGCAATTAAAAAGAGCTACATACAAAAGTTGTAAAACAAATGCAGCGTGTATACCACACACCTCCATTAAAAAATTAAATGTTTTCTCTAGGCCCTTCCCTTTCTCAAATACCTTCATCAACTTCCTTTCCATCATGCCGTGAACTGTTTTGCACTGCTTTAGCATCTGACTTTGATTTCTTCTTATTTTTCTTTGACTGAAACAATAAAATAGAATGTTGCTTATTATTTTACTGTTTTTGAAAAAGGTAGAAAGTCAGTAAAATACATAATGAAATGTATGATGCTGACAACTAAAAAATTTAAATTTGATTTAAAATCAGCATATTAAGTGGCAATAAGAAGTTATCATTTGAATGGTTACTTTGTGCTAATTCCAGTAATTTTCTTATTTATTCTTTAAGAATACAGAAGACATTACCCCATTTTAGAGATGAGAAAACAGAGGTAGAAATATTAATTAAATACTGCCCAGGCTCTATTAGGTCACATTATATTAGTAAGTGAAGTTAAAACTCAAGGTCTGCTGGGCTCCAGAACTACATTATGCTTTCACACATAATGTGTCCTACATTATAGTAATCAAAACTGTAATACGCTGTTCTAGGATCAATAATATTAAAACCCACTGCCATTTTCAGAAGAAAAATTATGTTCCAAATAATGGTTTGATTGCATACATAAGGTACACTGCTTATAAACCCTGTGTACAACAAATCAACATATCAATTGTATAAAATAGTATTTATTTGGTCAATTTCAAAGCAACGTGAAAAAAACTCTGACTGTGTATGTTTAACAATTCAAATAAAGATAAAAATACCAACACAAGATACAAATTCTGGAACAGTCTTCCAATTCCTTCCTGCTAATTTTATATTATCCTTTCAAAAGCTTGCCAAAAACTGCACACGATGTCTGTATTTAGATAGGTATCTCCAGAAAAGAAACAACACCAACAATATAGTAGGTTTTGGTGCTTTGTTTTATTGAGATAAGCTCATCCCACCGCTGCCACCTCAAATATAGCTGAGGATGACCTCAAATTCCTAAGTCTCCTGCCTCTTCTTCCAGAGTACTGGGGTTACAACAGAGGCACACTTGTATAATAGTTGTGCACTATCACACCCAGCATTAAACGCCTGGTTAAACACACTCTGTTGTCACTCATTTGGTTACCTATTGAGATTAGCTATTCACCCATTATTGTACAGAATTAAAGTTACAGGTTGCATTTTAGTAAGATATTTATATTATGAATAAATGATAAGTATGGTTTGAATTAACTGAATAGATGGTATCTAAACTAAATGCCTTTCCTACCCATGAGCAACTTACAAAGAATCTGACTTACATGCTTGTGACTTTCCCATCTACGGCTTCAATCAACTTCATATTGAAAAAATACGAGGGAATAAAATGCAAATATTGGTATCTGCATGGGGTCCAGGTGCCAGTGCCAGACAGAGATGGAGGGACAACTGTATTCTTATATGGTGTGAATTTTGAAATGAAGTAAAAACTTGTTTTTGTCATGAGAGTGTATTTTTAAAATCACTATTTTTTCTACAAGCTGTTTTCTTCTCTGCATTTGGCTTTTTGAATGTTCTCACTGTCATGTTTCATGTTTAGTACAGCACTTTTCTATATTTGCCAGTTGTTCACATCTACTTTTAAAAGAACTCAGTGGCTTCAGTATGTCCAAATGCTTGTAATATTCTCTTTAGCCCTACATAGAAACCTTGAATCCATCAGCAGGCATCCCCCATCTCCCTCTCTTCAGTCAACTACTTCTCTGTCTCTGTCGTAACCATTCGAAAGAAAAGATAACACACTGACTATCTGTTAAAGTCTAGAGCAGGAACAGCAGAGTTACTTAGTCTGCTAACACCCAGAGAATCAGTGTTTCAGGCTTTAAAGGCCTGGTGGCTTGTGACAACAACACAACTTTTTAGTATGTCAGCAGGCTTATGGACTGTCCCAATAAAACACTATTCAAGCTATATAGATAGGTAGGCATATTAATATTTATAACAATTTATAAGGCTAGACAACTAGTATAATATATCTAAAATACTATCACCTCAATGGTAACCAACTGTTTTACAATGTTATTTTAATGACTTAATGACACAGTATGAAAAGCAGGGTAATCTAAATCTGGTGTAATCATGGCTAATCTTGTCTGAAACAGAGTATACCTTACACTTAATCTCAATTCAGATTAGCCACATTTTGAGTATCCAACATCCACATGTGGGAAAGGATGGACATAACAGACAGTCTATGTCTCCAGAGCCTATGGTAGGCATCCCTCCTTTAAAGATAAGGAAACTAGAGTCATAAGGACCTGACAGAAAATGTCTAAGATCATGGGCTATTAAGTATGAAACCAGGAATAAAGTCCAGTTCTAACCCCAGACTCCACACTTACAAACAACCTGCTATTCCAACTAATTTAACTACAAAGCACATTTAATGATAAGTAAACATAAACTTATTTATAAAGTAGACAGATCAAGGTGGAGGTGAGCGATCACAGGCTACCGAGGAGACGTGTCATCAACAGTCTTACTCAGCTGTGGACCCAGCATGCTAACTGATCTGCCAGGCAACACGTCCCACTGGAACAATAATGCCATGATTGGTATGGGAGAAAGCATTCACTTTGGATGTGAGGCCTGCTCCACAGGCGGGAATTCACAGTTAGTACTGTAAACATTAGAAAGGATGTGGTGAGGATGAGGTCACAGGTCTTAGAGAGGCAGCTGCTACAATTTTGATAAACGGACATGATGTACCTGTCAAAGTGTACACGGTGCATTCATGCTGTGTAAGCACTCTGCCCCCGAACTGCTTCTTTAGGGATTTTCCTGCCTTGGCCCCACAGGCCTGTGCCCTAAGGTCCCAGCTACTGTCTTACACTTTTAAGGAGCTCAACTATAACTAATACCTCTGTGGGAACTACTGGCATAGTTTAGCTTTCTTGTTACTATACTCCCACCCATTTTACTGACATATTCGACGATGGAATCAGGTACATTATTAAATCTTGTCCAAACAATACAGCAGTAAAAGCCCCCCCCCCCCCAGATTATTTAAAAATGGATAAATGATCTGAACAGAAACTTCTGAAAAGAAGACACATGGCCAATAAGTATATGAAGAAATGAGCAGCACTCCAATCATCAGGGAACTGCAAAAGACTCAGCAGGCAAAAGTGCTTGTAATGCAAGCCCAATGACCGATTTTGACTCAGAACCTGCAGAATTCATGTAATGTAGTGTCCTACACCTGTAATCCCAGAACTCCTCTGGGGACTAGGAGGTAGAGACAGACTGGAGTATGCAGGCCAGCAGAAGCAAGACACTCCGCTCCAGTGAGGTATAAGAATAAACGTCTGCCCCCCCCCCTGCCCCGCCACGAGATGGTGAGCTGTAGACTGACACAGCCAGTACCAAAAACATGGAGGGTCCTCAAAAAATGAAAACAAACCTACTATATAATCTAGCAACCCTCTTATTAGATTTACATCCAAGGTCTATCAAGGAGACACTACATACTTCCACCCAACTGTGATATTTTAAGAGGTGGCAACATGGAACTATTTTTCTAGAAAGGGCAAGGAAAGATGAGAGGGTGAATGGCAGGAACACAGAATTGGGGGCAATAGCTCTAATGTTCTCTAGTATAGAAGGGTAACTATAGTCCACAACGATTAATTATGTATTTTAAAACAACACTGGAAAAGATTGAGGGTACTGATTACTGTGATTTGACAGCTACATGTGTACTGGATCATATTGTTCAAGTTAACAAATAAGTACAAATATTGCTTGCCAATTAAAAACAAAACAAAACTGACCAGGCAGTGATGATGCACACCTTTAATCCCAGCACCGGGGAGGCAGATGATCTCTGTGAATTAGAGGCCAGCCTGGTCTACAAGAGGTAGTTCCAGGACAACCTCCAAAGCCACAGAGAATTCTGTCTCAAAACAACAACAAAAACCAAACAAACAAACAAAAAACCCACAAAACTCAGCCTGACAGCAGAAATGAACAGAGGCTCAGATGGTAAATGAACCAAACATTTTCACCAGTATCTGAAACAGATACTTAATTTATCAGATGGATTCTAAAAATCAATATGCCAAGTAAGCATTTTCTTACTGTCTACTACTTAAATTCCCCATACGCAAAACAGATACAAAAAAATGTAGACTATATTAGTACCATTGAAAGAAATGTGTTCATATTATGTTAAATGTGTCCACATAAATACACATACATCTACACATGCTCTATCATTCCCGAGAAAATGAGTTAAATGAATGACAGACACCTAAACAGCTTTTCTGCAGCTTAGGACTTGGTATTTCTTTTTCGGGAACTCAGAGATTTGTCTGTCTCTACATTGCTAAGATTAAAAGTTTACACTATCATACCTGGCCTATGCATGACTTTGTAATGTAAGTGCTAGCCAACTATAAAATACTGGTTTGCTAAGTCAAACAAACTTCATTTAATGTTAAGATATTCCATTATGGATTTTTTTTTGGACACAGGGTCTCATGTAACCCTAAGCTGGTCAAATTGAAGTGGTTACTTAACTCAGCCGAAACTGCCCTTGAATTTCTGATTATCCTGCTTCCAATTCCCAAATTCTGGAATGAAAAACATGTCCCAGTGACTTAGTTAGGGCTACTATTGCTGCGAAGAGACACTCTTATAAAGGAAAACATTTCAATGGGGCTAACTTACACTTTGGAGGTTTAGCTCACTATCGTTGTGGTGGGTGCCACGCAGGCAGACATAGTGCTGGAGAAGGAGCTGAGAGCTCTTATATCTTGCTTAGCAGGCAATAGGAAGTGAACTGTGTCCCACACTGGGTGTAGTTTGAGCATATAAGACCTCAAAGCCCATCCCCAGTGACACATTTACTCCAACAAGGCCACTTCCTAACTTCCTAACAGTGCTGCTCGCTATGAACCCGTGGGAACCAATTACATCAAACCACTACATCCACCATTTTGGGCTCTGTTTAAAAAGTCCTATTTACTACAAGTGATGTCATCAGAAATACTAAGTACTATTAAGTTAATATCATGGCAGTAAATCCAAATCTTCAGAATTTCTCATTTTTATTTGACAAGAAGTCCCTTCATCATTTGCAGTAAACACTTTTCCTTGAAAAGTAAAATATTTTCCTTGCTGTGATGGGATCCTTTTGTTTATCCATGAGAAAATGTCTATATATTCAAATCTGATAAGCCAATGCTGCGTATCAATCATTATTTCAAAGGGAACAGAACAACCTACAACGTACAAGTGTTTCTCCTTAAGACAATCTTTCTCTTCACATATAGTCACATTCCCCCATGCAGAATAGTTCAAATCAAGTACTTTAAGATTTAGGGCAGGCAAGATGGCTCATCAGGTAAAGGTACTTGTGGTCAAGTCTGACCTGAGTTCAAACCCCAGATCCCATAAGACAGAGCAAGAGAACAGATTCCTCCCTGCTAATTATCCTGATCAGAAAAAACACACAAATACAGAGTAAGAACAAGACTAGCAATCATCCCCATTGCACCCTTGATAAACCATTCTTTTTTTGTTTGTTTGTTTGTTTTTCGAGACAGGGTTTCTCTGTATTGTCTTGGAGGCTGTCCTGGAACTTGCTCTGTAGACCAGGTTGGCCTCGAACTCAGAGATCCACCTGCCTCTGCCTCCCGAGTGCTGGGATTAAAAGCATGCATCACCAACGCCTGACCGATAAAGCACTCTTAAGCAAATTTATTCCTCTAAAATGGAGTTGGAAGCAGGACAAAGCAGCAAGCAGTTCAGTGCTGTTAGTCTGACTCGTGGTAAAGAGCCAGCAACTCACCCACTGCTTTGGCACCATCAGTGCAAATATCAGCACAGCAAAACAGGCAAATGTTTTCATTACCACACAAATAGGTCTGTTTTTAGGGACGCAACCAAAGGGTCCCCAGGGCTCCTTTCTCGGGAGTCACAACCAAACTACTGCCTTAGAGAAACTGAAGAAATTTTACCAGCTATGTGATCTTGTATAGTTTATTTATTCAGCTATTAAAAATAAATAAATAAAAACACCCCTCACTGTTAGGATGAAGTGATGTGAAAATACTTCACTCATCGAACACCATTAGCTCTTACAATGAATGCTATTAGAATTTCAGTGGAAATCATTGACTTCATCTTTTAACAATCTAACAGTAACCAACCTTTATACATTTTACTTATTACTGGTTTTCTAATTAGCAAATTTCAGATTTTCCCTTTTAGTTTAGATCTTTACAATCCTAGATGCAAAATGGACTCATAAATCATAGATGCTGCTGACACATGAATCTACCTGATTTTACATACACATAAATAAGAAAAATCATATGCCCCTCCAATCTTGATCACTCAAATTTAAGGTTTTTCCCTTAAGTGCATCTGGATATGTTCATTCGTTTCATTTGAATAACATAATGCTCATTTGATTCTCTAAAACTGGCTTCCCCCTCTCAGTTACTGAAATACCATCCCTCTTTAACTCCCTCCCTGCCCTCACTCACTATGTAGCCCTGACTGGTCTGGAACTCACAGAGCTCTACCTACCTCTGCCCCCAGAGAGCTGGATTAAAGGCATGCACTACCATGCCCAGCAAACCAGTCTGTTCTGGCTACCCAAACAGGATTCTCTTCTCCACTGAATACCTAACCAAACACCCTATTTTTACAGCTTGTTTGCCTTTCCTTGCCTAGACTGTTATCTTTCTGAGGGTATAAACGTTACGATTTCTCTACCCATCACTAACTATTAGCACAGTGCCTGGCTAACAGCCCTCTATGATCTCTACTAGAAACATGTCAGTGGCCGGGCGGTGGTGGCGCACGCCTTTAATCCCAGCACTCGGGAGGCAGAGGCAGGTGGATCTCTGTGAGTTCGAAACCAGCCTGGTCTACTGAGCGAGTTCTAAGACAGCCTCCAAAACAATACAGAGAAACCCTGCCTCGAAAAACCAAAAAAAAAAAAAAAAAAAAACACATGTCAGTGAGGCACTGACTGGCCTCCACATCAAAACTAAGACCTAAGAACTACTAGACGTGTTAGCACGCAGCTGTAATCCCAGCAGCATGAAGGCAGAGGCAGGAGCATCATACATTTTTAGCTAATCTGGGCTATAAAAACAGAGACATTAAAATGTATTAAAAAACAAAAAAAGCCGACGTCTATAAATAGAGGAAATTTTATCTATAAAGTTTACTCAATTAACAAGAAATGTAATCTACACACACACACACTATAACCCGAAAAACAATTACTCTCCGTACAAAACCATGCTTCTTAGGGCCGGAGACAACTCAGTGGTTAAGAGCAAGTTACTCTTCAAGAGGACCTAAGTTCAGTTCCCAGCACCCAAAATGGGCAGCTGACAACCCTTTGTAACTCCAGCTCCAGGGGATCCAATGCCCTTTTTCTGATCTACATGTACATGCCTGCGCACACTCACGCACAAACACACACTCATGGAAGTCAGAGGACAATTTGGAGGAGTCAGTTTCTTTCTACTAACATGGTGATTCTAGGGATGGAACTTAGGTCTTCATGCTTGGTGACAAATGCTTTCACCTGCTGAGCCATGTGGCCAGCCCTTATCCAAACCTTTTAACGATCTCAGTACAGAATTACTTTGTTAAATAAAGTTAATTGCTTAACAGGTAGAGGATTCAATTCCCTAACAATGGAAATCTATTTTAACAATACCATATGACAAGGTACAATACCAATATGAGCAACATGATTCTCTTTTTGTATAAGAAGTAATCTATAAAGCCAGAACCTCACTCAAACAAAAAAAAAAATCAAGTCATAAATCACTTTTGGCATAATGAACATTTACTGACAGCACCATAATATTTTTAAATGTTTGGTAACATAATATTCTTTGTAAGAAAACTTAAACCACCTGTCCAGTGTGATTATTTTAGACTTTGAAGTTTCCGTAAACAGAGATACACAGTCCTATCAAACACAAAAGCATGGTTTCTATGACACTCTCTTTATTAAAAACTCTGCATACAATATCACATGGTCCCAAGCTCACCTTCTCGTTTTTCTTGTCTGTCTCTGGTGGCTGCTTTGCTGTTATTCTACGGGGAGTTCTAACGATTTCATCCTCAGGGACTTCAACAGTCCGACCATTTGGCTGCACAGGTAATAAGAAAAAAAACATCATATCATCAAACCAGCTGGCTAGGACATAACACATACAACAATCAAATTTTCCCTGACCCAAATTAACAAGCCTGATTTTGTATGGCCATACCACCTAATTCTCAATGGACTAATAAGTGTTTTTGTGATATAAATACTGAATTAATTTTTAAAATGTTGTATCTTTATTTGCTTTTATTGTATGAGTGTTTTGCCTTGCATGTTGGTCAGTGTGTGTCCCTGTGGAGGTCAGGAGCCATACATGGCTGCGAGCCACTTTGTGGGTCCTGGGAATTGAACATGGGTCCTCTCCAAGAGCAGCCAGTGTTCTTAACAGCTGAGTCATCTCTCCAGCCTCCCTATAATGAACTCACAGCAAAATTCTGCACCACAAATTTTGTAATAAATAATAAAAGCAACGAAACAACCGGGCGCACACCTTCTCCCAACACTTGGAAGGCAGAGGCAGGTGGATCTCTGTGAGTTCGAGCCTGGTCTACAAGAGCAAGTTTCAGGACAGCTTCCAAAGCCACAGAGAAACCCTGTCTTGAAAAACCAAACCAAAACAAGAAGTTAAAAAAAAAAAAAAAGAAAAAGAAACAGGTAATGTCAAGGGGACTCATTAGTTGGGTAATCTCCGAGTATCTCACCAACTCTGGATTTTATTTCTGCACCTTGAGTTTGGCCAGGCGTTGGTGGCGCACGCCTTTAAACCCAGCACTGGGGAGACAGACAGGTGGATCTCTGTGAGTTCAAGGTCAGCCTGGTCTACAGTGTGAGTTCCAGGACAGCCAGGGCTACACAGAAAAACCCTGTGGGGGAGGAGGGAAGAGGAGAAGAAGATGAGTTTGGCTCTATTCAAGAATTAGTAAACTTTAAAAAAAAGTTTATCTTGCCGGGCGTTGGTGGCGCATGCCTTTTTATCCCAGCACTCGGGAGGCAGAGGCAGGCGGATCTCTGTGAGTTCGAGGCCAGCCTGGTCTACAAAGCGAGTTCCAGGACAGCCTCCAAGACAATACAGAGAAACCCTGTCTCGAAAAACCAATGTTTATCTTTTGTTCGTTCAGCTTGGTCTACAGAGTGAGCTCCTTCCAGGACAGCCAGGTTAAACAGAGAAACCCTGTCTTCAAAATCCAAAAACCAAGCAGGAGCTGGCTGAAGAGATGGCCCAGTAGTAAAGAGCATTTGCTGCTCTTGCGGAGAGAACCCGGGTTTGGTTCTCATTACATACTCAGTGGCTCACGATCATAACTCCAATTCCAGGGAATCGGATACCCTCCTTCTGTCTTCTCCGGGTCAGTCAGACAGACAGACATGACAGACAGACAAGACACACACACGCACGCACGCCAGGCGTTGGTGGTGCACGCCTTTAATCCGGGTACTCGGGAGGCGGAGGCAGACGCATCTCTGTGAGTTTGAGGCCAGCCTGGTCTACGGAGTGAGTTCGAGGACAGCCTCCAAAACTATACAGAGAAACCCTGTCTGGAAAAACCAATAAATAAATAAATAAAATAAAAAGAAACCTTTAAAAACATCAGGTAGATGAGGCTGGGAAAACACACAATTCACATTTTAAAACTCAATTTGTAAGTTTTCCAAAGATTTGTGGCAGGAAGTCAAAACAAAAGCTGCCTTAGCTGAATATGTCTAATTAATAAGCATTTAATCTTCTGGATCTTACACAGCCTTTTAAAAGAGGACAGTGAAAGCCAAAACCAGGTTTCCTCCTTCACTCTTGGCTGGTTCTCCTTCTCTGTACTGTTCTGACTGCTCTTTGGTTAAGGAAAGGGAACAACCCTCAGAAGGCAAAGCAGACTTAAGGACTTCTACAGCAGGCACTCAGAACCAGCTGGTTCTATATCCACCCTTAGTCTTATTTGCTGTTCTCATATGCTATGTCTTCTTTTAATTCGTCTTTGGTTTTGAGGTGACATCTTGCTATCTTGCCCAGTCTGGCCTCAAACCCACTATCTTACTCACCTATCTTTTGAGGTGGAGGGTTAAGTGTGTGCTACCAGTCTGACCTCTTTTTTCTTTCTTCTCTTCCTTTTTTTTTGAGACAGGGTCTCTCTGTGTAGCCCTGTCTGTCCTCAAACTCAGAGAGCAGCTTCCTTTTTCTTTTAAAATGGAAACATCTCATTGAGTTTTCAAATTGGCCTCAAACCCTTCCTGCTTCAGCCTCCCAAGAAACTAAGCCTATATGGAAAAGCCACGGCACCCAACTCTCACAGACAGTTCATGTTAACTGTCTTCTTTAGCCAAACCTTTCCTTTCTTCCTCCTCTACTTCCCCCTTCCCCAAGACAAGGTCTCACTGTGTAACTCTTGCTGGTTCCTGCTATATAGATCAGGCTGGATTTTGCTGGAATGCTGGGATTAAAGGCCATGTGCTGCTGCACCTAGCCTGCCCCGCTTTCCTATGTAGCTGAAAAATCTTCACTATTTCTGCCTGCCTGTGGCGCCATTCCCACTATGATGATAATGGATCAAACCTCTAGACTGTAAGCCACCCTAATTAATGTTTTCCTTTATAAGAGTTGCCATGGTCATGATGTCTCTTCACAGCAGTAGAACCCTAACTAGAACAAGATACAACAGCTACAGTTAACCCCTGCAATTTAAAATTACTGTTTTCATGTGTGTCCACCGAGTACATGTGGAAGTTAGAGGATGACTTCTGGGAGTTGGTTCTCTACTTATGCTGGGAACCCAACCAGCTCACTGGGTTAGCATCGAGCACCTCGACCCACTGAGCTGTCTTGTCAGCTCTAATCACTGTGGTTTCTAAGCATTTTTCTTGATCTTACCCTAAAGTCCTGATTTCTAAGTATGAGAACCCATGGACTTATCTTCTACTTATCTTAAATGACTTGTTAGAATATTTCAAATAGGAGCACATGGAAACACACCTGTTCAAGAAAGTTGCTTCACTTCTAACACACTTTCCTCTCCATAGGCATGATGCACATGTGCCCTAATCTCATATTCAAGTACGTATGGCCATTTTTATACCAGCAATCTCAAAATAAATTAAGACCTGGTGGTCAAAAGATCCTGGACTTGCATCCAACAGACCCAATGCTCCAGACATTAATTCTTTAAGGAAGTTAATAAATTACAACTAATAGGTAAACATAATTCTCCAGGGTTAAAAATTGTATAAGCTTGCTTCAAGAGACAATATTCTCATGTTACCTTTCTTTAAAACAAAAATTACTGGCCCAGTGCATACCTTTAATCCCAGCACTCATGAGGCAGAGGTAGCTGGAATTCAAGTTCAGGGCTAGCCTGGTCTACATAGTAAATTCCAGACCAACAAGTGTTACTCAAGTGAGACACCACCCCTAAGAAAACCATGTGGCATTCATTCACTGTGTTCACTTAACCATTACCCCATAAGCAAACACAACAGAGTGACATGCAGAGAGAAAAGACGACCCCTGCTTCCAGGAAGTCTGCAAACATCAGAGGTAGCAGCAGCACATGTTGGTAATTCTAACTCTCGGAAGGCAGAGGCACGATTGAGGCCAGCAGTAGCACAAGCAAATTCTAGGCCAGCATGGGCTGTATAGTGAGACTCGCTCAAAACCCAAAAAAGCACAAGAAAGCAATGACAAAAAGAATAAAACCTAGCACAAGGAGTCACAAGGCTCTGGGTGATATTGGCCATGGAAAGAGGTTTTGATTCTGAGCACAGAAACTACAAAGTGCTGTTTCAAAAAGACTCCTTGCGAGCTAAGGGTCGTGGCACATGCCTGCAATCCCAGCACCCAGAGTCAGAATACTGCACTGACACTCAGACAGGAGGCTCCTGAGTTAGCGGGGAGCCCGAGCCACCAAGTGAGAAAGCCAACCTAAAGCACAGCTGGAGAGGGCTCAGCAGTTCAGACAGGGGTTCTCAACCTTTTAATACAGTCCCTCATGCTGCGGTGACCCCCAACCACAGAATTACTTTCATTGCTCTTCATAACTATAACTTTGTTACTTTTGGCTGGGCGTTGGTGGTGCACACCTTTAATCCAGGCACACTCCAGAGGCAGAGGCAGGTGGATCTCTGTGAGTTCGAGGCCAGCCTGGTCTACAGCGCGAGTTCCAGGACAGCCTCCAAAACAATACAGAGAAATCCTGTCTCGAAAAAACAAAACAACAACAAAAAAACAAAAACAAAAAAAAGCAACAAAGAAAATTAAAGCATAAAACCTGTAAGACAATTTGGTCAGCACTCTGAGAGCAGTGGGTGCTAGGGACTGGCTACTACTGTTGTTGTGCTCAAATGAACATGACTGTCCAAACTGTCATTCTAAAACTTTATGCTTATGCCCACAGATTAGTGCTGCTCTCAACCCTGGCTCATAACCAATTAAAACGAGGGAATGTTCAGCTCTGAAAGGGACACGGACATCACTCCATCAAAGCTCAGAGAACACAAGGAATTATTCTTAGTTACTGGCAGTTGACAGCGGCTGAGAAAGAAGGAGTCTTTTTCTTTGGGGTGTGACTACTGATAGGTTGCCTAAATTAAGGTGGATGGGATGGTTCCAAAGCCTCATACCTTTGTGCATAATAAAGGTAGCACTAACTGGACTCAGTGGATCACCGAAAGGGAGAGAATATGTGAAGCTGGAGACATGTAAGAGGGGTGATGGGAGTTTGAGAGTGGGCATGGGTATAATCAAAATACATTGTAAACATATATGGAATTTTCAAAGGATAAGCAAAAAATAAGATATTAAGAAATAAAGGTTTCCTCCAATGGAGTCTTACCAGGTCTATCAACCACACTCCAGGGCAGGACTCACGCCTAGGAGTAGCTGGCCAGCAAGAAACACTCACCTTTTGGCGTGCGTGTGTATGCATGCATGCCTGCCTGCCTGCCTGCCTTAGTAGTTTTGTTTTGATTTGTTTATTTTGTTCTGTTTTGAGACAGGGTTTCTCTGTATAGAGCTGGCTGTCCAGGAACTCTTGCTCTGTAGACCAGGCTGGCTGCCTTTGCCCTCTGTGTGCTGTGATTAAAGGCGCTTATTGTGTTTTGAGAGCACAGAGAAAGAAAGAATATGAGTGTGTGGGTCAGGCGGTGAGGAGGACCTGAGAGGTTGGACAGGGCAAGGGGTGCGATCAAAATATATTATATAGAAATTAAAATAAAATTTATTTATTATGAAAAGGTAAGAAAGAAAGAGGAGCAGTTTAGAGTGCTTGCCACACTTCCAGTGGGGTGTAATTCCCAGTACCCCAACATGGAGGCCCACAGCCAGCTGCGACTCCAGTTCCAAGGGATCCACCACCCTCTCTCTTGTGGCCCTCATGGGCACCAGACGTGCATGCGTGTACATGTGAGCAAGTAAGCACTCAAACACAATGAAAGGACAGACAGAAAGAAAAAGGATTGGTTGAAGAAGATATCCAACACTGGTTTTGGCTTCTACACCCATGCATATGTTCACACAAAGATATAGATAGACAGACAGACAGACATCACAAACAATGCATTTTGAAAACAGGATTGCATGGTTTAAAAGAAAACTAAATGACAGAATGAAACAATAAAAGTAAAACTATATATAGGCATAGTATCCTGAAATATGCTCATTCATAGAAACTAGTACCTTACATCACAGAATTCACCTGAGTGTGTGACTCAACTAAAAAGTTTTTGCAGTCTTGCTGTACAGCTGAGGTTGACCTCAAATTCAAGACCCTCAAAATAAAAGTGCCTCTGCTTGCATCCTAGGATTACAGGTGCACTACCACTGCCTTGCTAGAAAGATCTTTATTGTTTCTGTATCACACCGCAGTCCAAATAGCCTGGACCTCAGTATGTAACCCAAGCTAGCCTTAATCTCACAGCTAATTCTCCAGGCTTAATGCTGACATTACAAATACATGCCACTCTTAACTAGCTTGGAGAAACAGGTCAGCTGGGAGCATTGGTGCACACTTTTAATCCCAGGCAGGTGGATTTCTGAATTTGAGGCAGGACAGCCCAGTAAGACCTTGTCTCTAGAACAAGTAAATAGTCAAAAAGAGAAATAAAAGGTCTTATAAACTTTATAGCTCTATTCCAGTGAGTGATTTTCAATCAGTTTGCTATAAATACAAATTTAAAAAGCCAGGCAGCGGGACACACCTGCCCAGGAGTTCCAAGTTTGGCTTGGGTAAGTCTGAGATCCAGCTCAGGAGTACTCAAACTCACTCTACTGCAAAGACCAGGAAGGGAGACCCCCTCAGAGTTTTAGCTAAAATCTTCAATTTACACACACAATTAGTAAAACAGATTAGGTCAAATGCTTTACTCAAACTTAGAACTGACAGACTATTTTCCTCCAGGTTTGCCATCTCTCAGGCTTCTCTACTAACTGATTCAAACTCTAAAAGCAACCTCTGTGACCAGGCATTTGGTGTCCCTGGTACCACAGCGGGGCTGTATTTGTTAAATGTTAGGGAGGGACTCTCAAGAATACCAGAACTCTCAAGAATACCAAAATATACAGATGCCAAGTAGCTCATAAAATAAAATGAAGTATTGGTATGTCACTCACACACATCCCCATACACTTGAAGTCATCTTTAGATTAATTAGACTTAGCCCAAAGTAAATATTATGTATACAGTTATTATGTAGTATAGGTTAGGGAATAGTAACAAGGAAAAAGTCTGTACCTAATTTAGCACAGCTGCAGTTTTTAAAAACCACTGCTTTTTTTTTCATGTATCTCAAGGTGGCCTCAAGCTCCTTAGATTGTAGGGATTGGCCTTGAAAGTCGGATTGTCCTGTCTCTACTTTGAATGTTGGGATTGTAGGCACATGCCAAGACCCCAGTTTATGCCGTGCTAGCCATCGAACCCAGAGACTCATGCATGCCAAGCAAGCACTCTACTAACTTAGCAACATCACCCATCCCTAAAAATAAAGTTCTGATCTTTGGTTGGGTTAATCCATGAGCACAGAGCACACCTGAGGAGTGGACTGTGTACAGACATCTTCCACAACAAGCGCAACGCTCCCTGAGGAGACACTGAGCTTTTTACTTGTGTTCCCTTTGCAGTGAGACACAAAACACTCACTTTTCCTGCTTGTTTGTTTCCTCCTCTCCTAAATAAAAACAGCACAGTACAAGGAATACAATGAGCAGGAAATAATGAAGCTAATACTCAACCTTGAAAAGCAGTTTTTTGTAATGGGTTGGGGGGAGGTGTTAGGCCATATAATCAAAGCAGAAATCAATTTTGTGGGTCATAAACTAAAGTAAGCTTGTGCCTGTGCTGGAATGTAAAATATTATTTCTAAGTTGCAGTTATGGGCCAAATCTTAAGCATGATTTCCATTTTTCACAGTGGAGTATGTCCCTCCTTCAGCTGAGTCACTTCAAATGGACTCTTGGAGTACCTGTCTCTCCACTCACGTCCATCTCAAATTCTGAACGTTCTAAAGAGGCTTTGAAATTTTCACACCCCACCACAGTCCACACAGACCTTAGGATTAATGCATCTGTTTTTTTCAAGATCACATTACTCTGAACCCAAACACCTACTTTAATCAGAGCATCACTTAACCCTTGATGTTGGCTACAGACTTTTAATTATGCATCTTCACCGTAGCTTGTCTTCTTTTCTCGGAACTTAGGGGAGCATTACACTGATTTTTCTACGTTTTCTATCCTGTCTTTCTACTCAGCAAGCAAAACACGAATGCTTATATGAGCTGTCAGCCCTCTTCCTTTTACTATTACTATATTATGTTTTTTAAGTGAAATCCAGCTTCCTTAAATAACTCATCAATTTCTCAAACCGGAATTAGTCTCCACCCTCCCGATCACACCAACATGTGTTCACACCTCTATTTAGCAACTATGGGTCCATGCATACGATACTTACAAATCCGACTCCCACGCGGTCACATGACTGACTCTAACGCCTATGTGCACACATCCAGTCGCCCATCAAACATTCCAGAGCACATCTCTACACAGTAAGAACCTGGTACTGGGTTACTGAATTGTTCTAAAAAGTTAACAGTAACAGTCTTCGGAGGATACAAACATTGCAGGTATTCAGTTCGTTCTTTCTTTTTTGGACACAGGGTTTCTCTATGTAGCTCTGGCTGATCTGGAACTCACTATGTAAAGCAGGCTGGCCTCAAACTCACAGAAATCCTCCTGCCCCTGCGCTGAGATTAAACGCATGGGGCACTACACCCGGGTAACACATCTCTAATGTTGTAAGTCTTTTACATTCCCAACTGTATTTTTAAAATATGTAAAACCGGTAGGGCGTGATGGAGCACGTCTTTAATCCCAGCACCGGGGTGGGGGAAGGCCGGCGGATCTCCGTGAGTTCCAGACCAGCCTGGTGTACAAAGGGAGTTCCAGGACAGACAGGACTGTTACACAGAGAAACCCTATCTCGAACTGCGCCCCCACCAAGGAAAGCCAACCAGTAAAAGAGTTGAGCGGGTAAAGGCATTTGCCACAAAGCCTGACAAGTTCAGTCCCCGGGACCCACGTGGTGGAAGGAGAGAACCCGACTCCAACAAGTTCTCCTCGGACTTCCGCATGCGTGCCGCGGCCCGAGATCTCCCCCAACAAACATTAAGAACTACAGGCATTTACGGAGAAAAGGCACCAAGGCCTGATTAAAACCAAGAGGATGCCTTTTTGCATTTCCACACGTGGCCCAGCAAATCGGGGGCTCGAAACCCTCTCGCAACCTCAGCTTTCTAATCTGTCCTGAAAATAACCCCCCCCACACACACCCTGAGGACTGGCTGCACTGCAGAGTACTTTGCTGAAGTCGCCTCAGCTTCTGCTGGGGGGGGGGGGAGGGAGACGTACATCTCGATGCATATTTTAGATAGCCAGCTCCCTCGCCAGCCTACCCCCCCCTCACCCCAGCCCCACATTCACCAGGCCAAGCAAGACAGGGCAACCATTTCCCTTTTTAACACTTCCAACTAAGATGGAAGTTATCTGGACACTTTTTTTTTGGTTTTGTTTTACGAGACAGGGTTTCTCTGTATTGTTTTGGAGGCTGTCGGTCCAGCCCGGCCTCGAACTCACAGAGATCCGCCTGCCTCTGCCTCCCGACTGCTGGGATTAAAGGCGTGCGCCACCACCGCCCGGCCACCTGGACACTTTTAATCCTCTTTAAGCCGGAGTTTTTTGTTTTTCTTTTACGAGGCCACCGTATATCCTCCACTAGGCACGGTCTCAGGTCTCAACGTGACTTAAGAGATAGACAACCTCTCTCCTCTCTCCCTTCTCCCCCCCCGCCCGGCCCCAGGCAGTCTTTCCAGAATTTCCCAACGTCGTCGTGGGGTCCCCCATGCAGCTTCCTTCCTTCTAGAGACCTCCAGGAAGGGGACGCGGTTTGAGGGGGGCTAAGGTTCCCCGAGGACGGGCTTGATGAAGTTGGGGCGCTTTTACTCCCCACCCCCTCGAGGGAAGTTTCCACGCGGGAAGCTCGACTTGCCCCACCGGCTCTTATCACCCTTCCCGACCATTCCCACCCCCTCCACCTCGAGGAACGCGCACCACCCCCATCCTAACCCATCATTTCATCCTCGGCGGCTCCCCCAGCTTCCTCGCCCCCCACACACACCCCCGTGAACCCCCGAGACTCACTTTGGGCTTCTCGGGAAGCTTCTTCCGGTTCTTCTTCTTCTGCTCGTCGCTCCTGAGATTCTTCAGCTGGGCTGGGTCTTCGGGGGTCGCCGGGGTCGAGGCCGCCTCCTCCCGCTTGCGGGGCGGGCTCCTCCGCTTCCTGCGGGCGCCGGCGCAAGCCGCGGCCCAGCCGTAGCCCAGCAGCAGGAGCAGCAGCAGCCCGAGCGCGCCGGTGCCCACCAGGATCACCCAGCCCGGGTAGCGCTTGGGCTCCAGCCCCAGGTCGAGGCCCAGCTCGGTGCGCAGGAAACCCAGGCCGGCCGAGAGCAACTCCCGGAGCCGGGCAGAACCCTCCTCGGCCTGCTGGGCCAGCTCGGCCTGCCAGCCCCGCGCAGCCATCTTCCCTCCCGGCGGAGACGCTCGCGGGATGACGCCCGGGGGGGGGCGCGCGGACGACGACGCCGCCGCTGCCGCCGCTGTCGCTGCCGCCGCCGCCGGGGCGAGCGGCGGGCGAGTCGTAGGGGAGGCGACGACGACGACGGGGGGGCCGCGACGCCTCACACGCGGCACGACCGCATCGCGGACGCCCCTCACGCCCGAGCCGGGGATTGGCAGCCGCCGCCGCTGCCGCCGGGGGACACAGTGTCTCCAGAGGCGGCCGCTAAGCGGCGTCGGGGCGCCAGCGCCAGGCCCGGGCCGTCCTCCCCCGGCGGAACAATGGCGGCTCCTCCGGCCGCGTCGCACGCCGCGCGCGGAGGCCGGCGACGGGAGGGGGCGGGCGGCGTGGTCACGTGGGAGGTGTGGGCGGGGCTAGAGGGTCACGTGGTGGGGAGAGCCGGCCAGTGGGCGGGGCCCAGCCGGTGTCTGGTCTTCTGGGGTTTCCCTGGCGCGGAGCTTTGGGAAGCGGAAGCCGAGCACTGTGCCGGCGGCTGGGCGACTGGGCGAGCGAGCCTGAGCTGGCTCCCCCTGCGCTTTTCCTGCACTGACCGCTGCGTTGCAGCGGGTGTTTGCTCCCTTAAGGTCACCTGGTCGGTTGGATGCCTCCTCCAGCGTAGGGGGAGCTCCATGCGTGGCGCCTTGCGTGCCATTCACAAAACCGAGTTTTGTTTTTTTTCCTCTCTGGTTTATTACATTGGCAAGGGCTTTTTGTTGTTGTTTTTTGTTTTTTTGTAGCGTCCGTTCGCTCGCTCCCACTGCCTTTTTGTTGTCAGACTCCAGAATTAAAAAAGCCGGAGAGCCCCGTGGGCGGGCGGCGCTATCATTTTCCCACTAATCCGTAGCCTTAACAAGGGAATATTGAGACGAAAGCGCGTTGGGGTCGTGTTTACGCGCAGGGGAAGCTTCCTCGTGGCAATATTACTTTAAGCTTTTTCACACAGCACAAGAAGAGTTGCATGGTGTGGCCCGACGGTGGAATGCAGCATTAGTAGGAAACTTAGGTGGGCCGGGGCCGGGAGAGGATGTCGCACGATGACAAGAGCGTGCTTTCTGAGCACATGCAAGGCTTCAGATTCCCAGCACCCAAAAAAATAAACACACGAGGCGCTTCTCCAGTTCTTAGTTATGAAAATGCTTGGTGGTTTAAATGCTTAGGACTTAAATTTCGATTCTGCTATAAGGAAACAACAGTGCCTATCATTAAATGATAATTAGCCCGTAGGCGGCTGATGTAAATACAAACTAAAAATCTATTCTTGTGTTTTGACCTACTTTGCATCAGTGTTGTAATGAGTGTTGGGATTAATGGGTGGAACCGAGTTTTGTAAGAAGCTACTCCAGCTAAGCTCCATGCGGACTCATAATTACTGACTAAATTATAAAGGCCAGAACCTTATAATGGGATCTGTATGGACTCTTAAAAATTAACAATTTCCCTTCATAGCTTTGGAATAAGATCTGTAACCCCACGTATTTTGCGTTGGTTTCAGACACAAAGGGTCACGTGGTCCCCCCCCCCCAGGAACTCTACTGATCCTCCTAGATTTTATAAATTAAATAATTACAGAAACTGCAGGTGAGCATGCTAGTCCTTTTGGCATTCTAGCAAGTAAATATGATTTAGTAAGATCATATTGTCTTTTTTTCCCGTTTACTGTATTTGGTATCAGGGACATTCTCATATCTCCCTTTCTCCCTGCTTCTCTTTGTGTATGCATATGCATTTTGTTGCTGTGGTCTTGGTGAAGATTGAACCAGGAGCCATAAGCATGGTAGACAAGCATTCCCCCCCCCCCACTGAACTATATCTTTATCCCACCATGCATTTATGTAGCATGAATTCTAGTTGGTCTTAATAATAAAAACCCGGAGACAAACATTGGGGTTAAAGTGAAGATCAGAAAAGCAAAGCAGCTAAGCCATTAGAGAGTTCTTTTTTTGTTTGTTTGGTTTTTTTTGTTTTGTTTTGTTTTTTTGTTTTGTTTTCGAGACAGGATTTCTTTGTATTGTTTTGGAGGCTTGCCTGGAACTTGCTCTGTAGACCAGGCTGACCTGGAACTCACAGAGATCCTCCTGCCTCTGCCTCCCGAGTGCTGGGATTAAAGGCATGCGCCACCAACGCCCGGCTAAGCCACTAGAGAGTTCTTAACCTCTACCAATACTCAGACCAAAGGCCGGGTGGTCCTGTCCTCGGCGTGACTGCAGCCTGCAAAGCTCTCCACCAAACCTCAGACTGCCCTGAGACTGCACTGAGAGCTCCTGCCTTATATTCCTCTCTAGTGCTGAGATTAAAGGCACATCATCCCAAGTGCTGGAGTCAACGGTGTGAGCTCTGTTTCTCTTTTAGGTTGATTCAGTATCATGTAGCCCAGGGTGACCTTGAACTCGGAGAGATCCATCTGCCTCTGTCTCCTGAGTGCTGGGATTAAAGTTGTGAACCACCACTGCCTGTCCTCTATGGCTAACTAGTGGCCTTAGGTTGTGTGGCTTAGTGGCTTAGCTCTTAACTAGGTGTGTGGCTAACTAGTGGCTTACCTCTGTACTCCAATCTTCAGGCAAGCTTACTTCGTTAGAATACAAACAAAATACCACTACACATTTATATTTTAAAAGCAAGAGTGGGGTCACATGCTACTGGTTTGCATTCAGTGTAGCTGTGAGCATTTATGACAGTTAAGAAAACTTGTAAGAATATAAGTGTAAGGATGTGTTATGTTTATTAATTGCAACAGCACAAAGATTAGATTAAAATTTAAATGAAGCAGCACTTTGAAAGAGTCGAGGCAAAAAGAGCTTCATGTGATGGAAATGTTACCTCTGGTCTAAGTAGGCAAAGAGTCCTAATTCCTTGTGAATGGCAGAGATAAAAATCTAAAAGTGTAGCCGGGCGGTGGTGGCGCATGCCTTTAATCCCAGCACTCGGGAGGCAGAGGCAGGCCAGATCTCTGTGAGTTCGAGGCCAGCCTGGTCTACAGAGCGAGTTCCAGGACAGCTTCCAAGATAATACAGAGAAACCCTGCCTCGAAAAACCAAAAAAAAAAAAAAAAAAAAAAAAAGTAAAAGTGTGCCTGAAACCCTTTATGAGAAGTTCTGAGTTGGAAATGAGTGTTTTTTGGTGTGTGTGTTTTTTTCCAGAGTGACCTATTCAAGGACCTGTCACTCTCATAAATAAAACAGGGATGAACTATAAACTCACACAGCGGCATGAACACATACTAATGCTGAATGAAAGGGACCAGGCAAGTACATAACACATGATTCCATTTAGGTATAATTAGAAAATGAAAACTGATCTACAGTGATGGCAAAATCAGCGGTTACTTAGGGACATGGGATAGAAACAAATATGTGTGAGAGAGGTATTAAAAAGTTGCCACGGAAACTTGGGAGAGGCAAATGTGTTCTATTTGTGGTGATAATTTCATAGTGGTATGTGTTTTCCCCAAACTTCAGATTATCTATTTTAAATCTTTTGGTTTAGGACTTTTCAACTGCTTCCAAACAACAACAAAAAAAGCCATTCAAACAAACCCATTTTTAAAAGTGACTGAACCTGGATGTGCGGTGATTACTGTGATCCCATTATCAGTGACTGGGGTAGGAGAATTCAGAGGTCCCAGCTAGTCTGGGCTTCATAGCCAAGCCCCATTTCAAACAAACAAAAGCAAACAAAAAACTTCTAGCTGTGATAAATTACTATGGCCAAAAGCAAACTGTGGAGGAAATAACTTATTTGGCTTCCAGTTCTGGAGGACTGGGTGGTGTTAAGAGAAGCTTTTTCCTTGAGAAGGAGCCGTTCCGCCAGCCTGGTTCCAGAGCCGCTTTCCCGCCAGCCTGGTTCTAGAGCCGTATCAGTCCCAAATAAACACACAGGAGGCTATATGAATTATGAAGCTGTTGGCCTTGCTTGTTTCTTACTAGCTAGCTCTGACTTAAGTAATTACCCCATAATTGTTAATCTAAATATGTTTCTTACCGGAGAATAGTTCCAGGCTTCCTGCCCCCATGGCGTTACATGTTGACTCTCTGTGTTTCTGCTTCCCAGAATCCTCCTGGACTCCTAGCCCCACCTATCTGTCGCACCTGCTGTGCGGCCTGCATCCAAGAATGTAGCGAGGTGGTCGGGATAGATGACACAGAGACCGGTCGGTTGCTTTAAGAAAACTTTATGTTTCCCAAGTCAGCTTAGGAGGAGACCCCAGTCCGCTTAGGAGAGAGCTCTCAGAAGAAATCTCAGGAGAAGTCTCCCCAAGAAAAAGGAGCTTCCCTTTTTAAGGACTTTTGCCATCCATTTACATACCATTCTTTCCACTTCTCACCCTCCTGGCTGGTGGTTTAATCTCCAGCCCCAGAATCGGGGAGACACCACAGGGGGCAGGAAGAGGCATCTAGCCGTAGGAGGTGTGAAAGGCATGGTATTTCAGTGAGCCAGCCCTTATCTGAGCCCTATCAAGCTTTAAAGCACTGAATTGTTTTCAGTAAACATTACATAGATGCCTGCTCCCAGGCCGAAGGGGAAGTGGGTTTCTGCTCAAGGTCTGGTGTCCCCACACCTATCTAGATTCCTATAGGTTCAACAGTACTTTACTGACAAATAACAGGCAAATAACAGGACTTCCCCAACAGGGTGGGGGTCTATGATGGCCTGGACCCATGACGATAGAACGCCATCCATGACTGCCCAGAGCCATGGCAGCAGGAAGCTAAGAGATCACATCTCAGCACAGAGAAGGAACTGGAAGAGGGATGGCTATAACCCTCAACTGATGGGTAATGGCCTTCTGTGTATACGTTTGTCCTATTGGTTGATGAATAAATCACTGTTGGCCAATAGGGAAGCAAGATAGGTGGGACTAGGAGTCGAGGAGGATTCTGGGAAATGTAGTAAAGAGAAGTCGCCATGCCATCCAGGCAGGAAGTGACATAGCAGGGCAGAATCAGCATATAAGCAGGAAATGGCT